AGTTTTCTCTCCAAGGTTCCGTTCTATCCTGTGCAACCAGTTCAATATCTGAGATAGAATCCAGTCCAACATCTTTGGCCTCTCTCATTAACGTTCATTTTAGGGTTTCATTTTGCCCTTCGCTCTTGGTTTTGCTTCTGATCAAATCTTCAGTTGCGAGCCGCCGTGTTGTAGCGGTAAACGCTCGCCTGCGGATTGGAAGATCGTGGATTCGGGTCCTGACAGAGCCGAATTTAAAAAAAAAAAATTATGACCTTGCCTTCTATGTCGACCCATCTTTGACTGGGTCCTACCCTTTATGCTCAATAGTCTTAAGGCATTGAAGGAGTCTGTTACTTACTAATCTCCAGTTAGCGAGTACAGATGTTTCAAAGGTAGTTATTTTCTATGCCACAAACGTGTCAGTTCAGGTCCTGGCGGAGGCGGACTTCCTCCCCCCCCCCCCCCCAGAAAAGATCCTTAGTCGACCCAGCGTCAAACAGGTACTAGGAATAGATCTGGCGAGTAAAGGCGACCGCTGTGATGTTGACCATACAGCCTACCGAGTGCCGAGCCCCACATGCCCAATTCGCCGGAATGCGTGGCAGAGGTTAGTTTACTTACTTACACACGGGTCAGATATTCTACTTGCCTGACAGATATGTGATTTTTATCGGAGCTGCATTAGTGAAGTGATTTTTTTCCCGTTCATAGTTATGATATTATAGATTGTTGTAATGTACTGATGAAGGCTCTCTAATCGCAACGTTCATTTTTCGTTTGTAATATTATGAAGCTGGCTGGTTCTACAGATCGTCTGTTTTGATATCTTGTAAAGAAAGATTTTAGAGAATACCAGAGCATAGCACTGAAGCTGGGGCTACACTGTTTCTTGCTTTGTGTGAAGTTCTCGATAGATGAACAGACGCGTTGAAAAGATAGACTGGGCCATTATTCATATTGTTATTGTTGTTATTAGTGTTGGCTACTGCTGATTTCACTGCCCAGCATTGGAATCCTCCTGGACCATTAGGATAAGTATATGTACAATCTTACCCTGTCGAATGTAACATTTGTTTTTCTCTCTGTAATAAAGTCCTACTGCTTATACAAAATGCATCCTTTTCAAAGAGAAAAAATGCCACCGAAAGAGGTCTGGGGACGAACTACACGAAAATGGGCACAGAATTTAAGTGAAACTTTAGATAGGAACGTTCAAGAAAAGATATGAAGACCGAACGATAAGTACATCAGCAAGCTTCATAAAATAACAAACACAAACAAAACGTGAACGTTGCGGCCATGGAACCTTTATCGGCACATACATAAATCAAACAATTCAACACAAAATCACTTAGCTGGTATCTCGAAGCAGCTGGGTCAATGACTTGTCAGTAGACTGGCCAGACACGTGGGACAGGAGAACAAACGTGCACCAGGCGGGACTGGAAAACAAACAACAGGCAGATGGCATGGTACCAGGAAATAGGGACAGAGGCCTCGTGTTTGGGGTCAGCAGTGTCAGTGATAGGCATATACTGTTAGACTCGTATTTTATTAGACCAGTCGGTACTTAAAGGGTGTAATGGTGAACATCATCTTTTATTATCAGAGCTGACAGAGGGACAATACGGTTTGTTGCATATCCTTTACATGATGTTACAGAACCAACCACAACATAAAGATATATATATATATATAACACAGCCCATGGGAGTGTGACCAGCAAGACCTGCCTGCGTCAAGATAAGTCTCCCTTTTTTGGGGGGTGCCTTATTGGTTGTGTTCTTGGTACGCATGTTTCCATAGCGAGGCGCACATGCCATTTTGAGGTGACAGGTTCGATTCCCGATACGGCAACTATAGCTTTAGATTTGTATGTTGTCTAGTGTTTCCTTGTCTTTCTACTTTCTTTTATGAGTGCCGATCAATACACAGTCTCTTTGTTAATTGTATATATATATATATATATATATATATATATATATATATATATATATATATATATATATATATATATATATATATATATATATATATATATATATATATATATATATACATATATATATATATATATATATATATATATATATATATATATATACCATATTCCACAATTAGAGCACGAGAGTTCATGATCGTTGTTACCCTCACATTATTTGGTGTGATTCTTCTCAGACACTCAGCTCTCGTTCTTTGTATTCTTTTGTCCTACTGCTCATGCTGTAAAGTTTTGCAGGGAGGAGCTAAGTGTAAGTTTCCGGTCTTTTGTTAGTTACGTAGCTGTGCAGATGTCACACCGTGTTTCTGTAGTGTCTCTTTTACTTTCACCACCCATATATTTCTTGGTCGACCTCTTGCCCTGTAGCCTGCTGTTCTCATGTAGTACACTATAGCTGTTGATTGATTTTGATCAGATGGCCAAACCATTTGATTCTTTCATGTTCTAGAAAGTCATTTACTGGTATTGAGTGACTGACTGACTTTCTACCCCACCAGGACATCACACAAGCGATACACACCCGATGACACAATATGCCACCATGTGGATGAGGATCACCGTGGAGAGATTCCAGAAACCGCGTTCAGCCTTTAGACCATATTTATGGCCAGGGCTATATTGCGGCCCCCTGGCAAGAGCCAGAGTAGGACTTCAAATAACGAAAAATTTCATCCTAAAAAGGACAGGAAGTGATTTATATTTAGTGGTACTGAGCCTACCATTATTCTTAGTTGTTCCTTGGCAGAGTCGTCAGCACAGAAAATTTTATTGGTATTCAGCAAGATGACATTGGGCTCAGTTGCTTTACAGATTTTATAAACTGAAGGTCTCTAAGGGGCATAAGGCTTATTTCAGTGTGTAATAATAATAATAATAATGTGATGAAGGGCAAATAAATGATGTTTCCTACCTAATATGAAATGTATAACAATACTTTAAAAGAGAACGCTTAGCTCCCTGATAACATTTCTAGCCCCTCCCTCCCCCCACCTCAATCCTTTCCTTTCATTCCCCCCCCCCCCCAAAAAAAAATCTGAGGTGGGTTCAATGTGTCTAATACACCAAGCTTGTAGTGTCCCTGGCTAATTCAACTGGACAGATCTAGAGGATGCTGGAAGTGGCCTCACTGAATGTAACAGATCTAGGAAATTTATTCTGCAGACATTATAATTTGAACAATGCAATTCCCAGTTAAAGACTATAAACAGTAACTGACCCTGATCATCTCAGTGGCCATCAGACATATGATCATAGACAAACATTTTTATAAACCAATCAGCCCTCACTTTTACTTCCCAGGCCATGACCTGCTACCTGTCTTAGGCTGTTGGCCTGGCAGCTGAGGTCAATTTAAAACAAAAATCTGCAACAATGCAGATTCCAACTGAAGACCTTCAGATGGCAGGTGAGCATCGAGCTACTGTGCTACCACAACTTGGAGCATATAGTACTAGCCATGCATTGTTAGACATCAGTCAGTGCTCATGGGTGATGTGGTTGGCATCATCTGACTTGTCTAACAGGCCGCAGCTGGCCACTCTACTAGTGAAGCTCCTATCATGAAAATCTTAGCTTCTCTGGCTGTAAACTGGAGGAAAGTCCTGGTTGGTTGTTCTCTTCTAGGTTTCATCTTCTTCTTGAACCTGAATTTGCATGGACACACATTTTACAGATCTAGCTAATTTGTATGCAGTATTGAAGGAAAGACCAAATAAGTTTAAGTTTTTTTTAATGATATGCTTGTTACAGGTGCAGTGAAGCTACCCCCTGACCACCAGATGTGCCCCAAAATCAACATGGTCATCATTAAAAAAAAAAAATTTAAAAAAAAAGAAATAACTGTATGTGACATATTTATTCTAATATAAACAAATACAACAAGCAATCAAGAATCCAAAACCATTCCTTTATTAAAATATACTCTTGTAAGTACTTAGTTACTTGAATATTTCAATACAATTTATGGAAATAACAGCTTCACTTTATAAACATACAGAAGTTCAGTAACTGACCATCTAAATACACATTTCACAATACCAGTGATAAAAACCAATAAATTCATTTTATCAACTATGAATACCCATAGAAATAGTTTATCTATTTACTGATGTCAGTACCACATTTCACATCAGATACAGAGTAAGACATGGTAATACTGGACACGCTATTACTTGGTACATCATCAATGTTTAGTAGATTATATCGTTTTTGAAAAATAGACATCTGTTCGGCACGAGTTCAAATAATTTTCAGTGTGCACGTTTTATCTCTATATTTTCATGTTTCTTCTTACATGTTAAGATTCAGAATAAAAGGTCACATTCATTCTAGATATGTAACTGATAAATCCAGCTCACAGCAGTGAAAATAGGCCTGTAGATGTGTAAACGTTTACGAGAACAAAGATCTGCAATACTAAAAGTCAAAAAGCTGTTGATTATATAAGATCCTCACCACACTTGCTTGAAGGTATTGTTCTTCTTCTTCTTCTTCACTTTCTCTCTTACCGCTGTGGGTGTCGAGGGAGATATAAGGTTCTGTTTCTAGCTCTTCTGGCTGCCTCGACCATAGGCACATCGTGCTGTTGTAGAGTTTCTCTGATATTATCCTTCCATCTTGTTCTTGGTCTACCTCTTGCTCTACGTCCTTCTTCTCTTTCCATGTATGCCTTGTATGGTATGGCGTCACAAGGCATTCTCTCTAAGTGGGCAAACCATTTCACTTGCAGTCTGAAGGTATTGTTCACTAAGTCAAAGTAATTTGCAGAAATTAAAGTTTTATGTTAATGGTAATCATTTTATGTCTTGAATACAAAAACAAGCAGTTTAGATCAGCTGAGTTGAAAAACTGACACCACTGCACTTGGGACATTTCCACAAGTGCTCCGGGTCCATCTTCAGCAGACTGTAGAATTTCAACAATGATAGTATCAGGAGCAGTCTCATTATATATCCATCTTTCCTTTCCTCTGAGGTCTGAGTATCTGTGAACTTTGACCAGAAGAAGATTACAGTTTTTATACTTCTACATTTGCCAGTGCTGAAATAATCTTGCAGTAGATGTCCACTCCTCGAATGAAGACTTTCTCATTCAGGTATTCGTTGTGATCGTGTAGCAGGATTGGTGTGTTGTTCATTGGAGAAAATCCAATCATATCTGCTCCAGACTGAAACCAGTATGAAAATAGAAGGAAATGCATCAATATTCTCAAAGCACTATTCAAAGAGAATTATTATTGCACTAGAAATTCACCTACTGTTGTTTTGTATGTAGCTAATGACGAAGCACTGACATAAACAAGACTGTGTGACCTAGAAGTAAAGCAAGGTGAAGTCTGTTTATACTGCCTTCAGGGTCGAGATAGAAAACATTAAAACCAACTCCTCATGGGAACAATCAATAAAGTACCATGGAGTGGCTGCTGCATTGAAGGACTGAGCTAAAATGAGAATGTCCTATGTGTAATGATGTTGATTGTGATAACATATAATAACATAACATAACATTGTTTAGTTGTCTGAAAAGTAATTCTTCATTCTCACCCTTTTGGAATAGGAATTCATAAGTAAGTAAGTAAGTAAGTAGTAAGTAAGTAGTAAGTAGTAAGTAAGTAAGTAAGTAAGTAAGTAAGTAAGTAGTAAGTAAGTAAGTAAGTAAGTAGTAAGTAAGTAGTAAGTTTGTAAGTAAGTAAGTAAGGAAAGAAGGAAGGAAAGAAGGAAGGAAGGTAGGTAGGTGGGTGGGTAGGTAAGTGGGTATGTATGTATGTATGTATGTATGTATGTATGTATGTATGTATGTATGTATGTATGTATGTATGTATGTATGTATGTATGTATGTATGTATGTATGTATGTATGTATGTCTCTCTCTCACTGTGTGTGTGTGTGTCTCTCTCTCTCTCTTTCTTTGTGTGTGTCTCTCTCTCTCTCTGTGTGTGTGTGTTGTGTCTCTCTCTCTCTCTTTCTTTGTGTGTGTGTCTCTCTCTCTGTGTGTGTGTGTGTGTGTGTGTGTTGTGTGTCTCTCTCTCTCTGTGTAAGTGTGTGTGTGTCTTTCTCTCTCTCTGTGTGTGTGTCTATCTCTGTGTGTGTGTGTGTGTCTCTCTCTCTTTGTGTGTGTGTGTGTGTCTCTCTCTCTCTCTCTCTGTGTGTGTCTCTCTGTGTGTGTGTGTGTCTCTCTCTCTCTCTCTCTCTCTGTCTCTCTCTCTCTCTCTCTCTGGTAAATTGTAAAATTTAAAAAAAAACATTTGAAAAAAAAAAAAACCAGCCCTGAAAATACACTTAGATGAAACCTGCCAAAATAGCAATTAAATGACCTGACATAGTGCCAACGATAAGTGCACACATAAATAATAACATTCTCATCCTAACATATATATATCGATCATACAATTTCAAGCCTACACATAGTGAGAACTAATAAGCATATATTTTAATAAATTACTCAACAGTTCACAACCCTAAGAACAAACAATTCACAAACCTTCCTTAAATATCGACTGTCAGTTGCAGCAGGAAATATTTCAGTTTGGAGTTCCACATTTCTGTAAAAATTTGATGAACAAACCATTTTACTCATTATTTGCTACGAATTTGACTGTTAACATGAAATATAAACCATTAATTCTTTAGGCACCAGCCTTTGATTACTTTAACTTTTATTCCAAGAAGTTCTAGGTTAAAGTAGCCAACATCTGCGAACAAAGTAGTTCAAACAGTAACAATGCCGGGTAAGAGAAGTAATATTACCAACTTTGATATAACAAGTTAACTATTTCAGTACCAAAGGGTTTGACACAAGATACCAAAATAAGAAATAATCATGATGCCAACTCATGAATGCTCTACTTTTAAAGTGGCAGTTTATGTAGCTGCAGTGACAAATGGGGAACCAGATTTCTCTAGTATGTTCTGACCAATGAGTAAAAGTAATAGAGTGCATTATGCTTCAGAGGGGAATCAACTGGTAAATTTATTCACACACTGGGCATTGCTTGAGAGTTAATGTAACAAATATGTGTAACAGAAGAGAGTCAGAAATGTGTCATGTGTGGGTTACCCAAAGAATGCAATTTTTTTTTTGTATGGTATGCAAAGAAATAATCTTACTGAAACATACAGGCAACAACAATTTATACTGCTTCCACCACAGCATGTCCTATCATTATTGAGTTTAATAAAAACTTTCCTAAAAAAGAAAAAAAAATTAATTTTTGTTGGTTTAAATATGTAAAACAAATTGTGTTTTATTCAAGTATAAATCAGGTGGTCTCTGGGCTAAGTGGTTGAGCCGTTTGCCTCAGTCTACAGGCTGTGGTTTCATGCATCACTCAGTTCATGAGTGCAATCTGTATGATTCCTTGAGATGGTAAATGGTACTACAGATTTTGTGCTTTATTAAATGTTCTTAGCAAGAGGCTACTAGCCATATAGCAAAAAAGTTACCAAGCCATACTGGATAAAACTTGACGCTAAAACCTTTACAGAACATGATTAAATTATATACCAGAAGTTGTAATAATGAAATTCATAATAATATACACAACTAAACATAACCTAAGATATTTATATTTTAGGTAACAAAACAATCAATACTCTGCCTGGGAGAATGTGCCTCTGTAGTGTTCGTGTAGCTATTTAACAGGGTTCTGGGTTTGGTAGTCAGCAATCTTCTTTCCCCTGTGCCTATTTATCTCTTTATTAAGCACAAGACCTTTTAATTCATTGCAAGTCCTCTTGCCCTTTGCAACCTCAAGAAATTTAATTCATATCATTCCCATGTTATTCTCAAATTCAGTTCTTCAGTTTGGATTTATGTATGGCTCCAGGAAGGAAAAGAATCTTTTGTGTTTACAACCAGTGTGTTATTGGAGGGATCAGCATCTATACCTTAAAACAACTGCTGAGACAGAGTATATAAGTTTGTCTTTCCTGTGTTAGTTCCAGAGACCAATGGGCGTGAAAAAAGGTGGGGGGGGGGGAGGGGGGGGGGGGGGGGGGGGGGGGGAGGGTCTCACTGCCCCAGAAGGATCATGTGGTAAAAGGCGACTAATTAAGGATTTGCTAAAATGTGATAGGGTAGAAGGCATATATATTGCAGCCTAGCTGTAATCCACAATGCACCAATTGTTCTTCAAGGGTGTAAACAGAAACGGAGAAAAGAGGGGTGGGGGTAGATCATTCAGGTTCGCCTGGAGTATAAATTCACCACCCCACCCCCCCCCCCCCCCCCCCCCCCCCCCCCCCCCCCCCCCATAAAAAATAGTTCAAGAAGAGTATTTATTTGTTTTCAGTCCCAAGAAAAGGATACAGCTGATAAAATATAGCAAACCAGAAAAGAAGAGAAGAGCACATAATCACCTAACACAAAGTGATGTCAATGAAGTTAATTTTCACTGCCTGAGACTGGCTTTGTCTGAAAGGTGAGTGGTTTACCTAAAGTGTATCTAATATTATCATCATCATCAGTTCTCGTGATGCCTAGTGCCACATGATGCTTCAGAGAGGACTTTCCATGCTTTCCTGTCCTGTGCAATCTTCAGTGCAGTTTTCCATGTCAAAGAGGCCGCACTCAGGTCACTTTCCATCTTTCGTCTCCATGTTGTTTTTGGGCGCCCCTGTTTTCTCTTTCCCTCTGGTGTCCATGTGAGAGCTGTTTTGGCGGGTATATCAGGATTCATTCTCATAACGTGGCCAAGCCATTTCCATCTTCTCTTGATTATCATACTGTCTAAAGTTTATTGGTTTGTGACTTGAAGAAGTTTAGTGTTTGAGATTGTATCTGGCCAGAAAATTTTGATAATTCTACGTAGACATGTGTGGGGAAAGGTGGATAGCTTGAGTGCATTCTTTTTGGTCATTCTCCAGCATTCCGCTCCATAAAGAAGAGAAGTATCTAATATAACTATGAATAACATTCTGCTACCTATAAAAGCTATCTAAAATTATTGGTTTAAAAAGTGGAACCTGTTACAAATTTTATTTCATATTGTTAGAATTAACAATATGTTATCTGTTGCAAAGTTTATCTTTTGCGACTAGAATCAATACTATATTTACCTATTATAATCTTTCTAGAGTGGACACTATGTAACCTATTCTGAGTCAACTCATGTGGCTAGAGTGAACACATTTTTAATGGCAACAAAGTTTATATTATCTAGTTATAGTCAACATGTTACCTGCAAGTTTATCTTATGTGGCTAGAGTCAATACTATATTACTTATTATAAACTTTCTAGAGTGGAAACTATGTTATCTTTATTAGGTTATCTTCTACGACTAGATTCAAAATATTTTTATTCACAATACAGTTTATATTATCTAGTTACAGTCAACATATATTATCTATTACAAAGTTTACAGTGTGAACACTATGTTACCTACAACAAAGTTTATCTTATGTGGCTAAACTAAACACTATGTTACCTTCAACAAATTTTGTCTAGATGGCTACTCAAACACTAGGTTACCTACTACAAAGTATATATTAAACTGAGTCAACACTATTTTCATTACTATAAAGGCTATCTTATGTGGTTAGACTCAACACTATCTCACCTAAAACAAAGTTTATCCAACATCTCCACATTCAAAGGTGCGATGATTCTCTTTTATCTTCTACTGGCTCGCCTCATCGCATGCTCGCTGCCAACTCACAAAACCGACATCACACGTCGAGCAGAAAAAATGGACGACTGGGAAACAACACAATACTGTTCCAGTACTTTATTCTTCCACTCGCGGCTTACACAGCCGGCACATGAACTTGACAACTGTCCAGGCACACATTATAATGCAAGAATCAATTATTACCTTCAAGCAGAAATCCCAATCGATTTACACTAACATCGTAAACGAAACACAACAGCTGTCCTGACAGATACACTCAGACGACCGGCAGACATGTTACTGGCCAGCTTTCTTCGCCAAGTTGGACTGGAACAAATTCACTCAAAAACATCTGCTGAATTCACACATCATCCACCGCTGTCCATGCACACTGTTCCTGGGTCCAAAACGAGACTGCCCACAAACCTTTTCCTCGCTATTATATAGCCCTCTGATCTCTGATTCTAGAATATTCTGGATTCATTCTCACGAATTTCCCACTGTTGAAAGTCGTGTCTGGCCCGTGATAAATTCACATTTCACACAAATCCTGTGAACAATCATGTTTCACATAAAACCTGACTTTCAGATGTCTCTCATGAAACTCAAGACATAAATCTCGTGTTATCTCAGCCAGTCAAAACATTCGTCTTACATCTATTACTGACGTCATCTATCGGGCATAAATTAATGAGGAGAAAATGACTCACTACATTCTCCCCCACCCCAAAAAAATGTTTTACATTTTCAATTAATCAGGTGTAAACATTTCACTGAACATTGTGATTCTAGACCTTTGTAGTGAATCATTTTCGACAAGTTCATTTCCAACCAAGTTCCCTTTACCTCATTAGGTTAACAATTCAAACACTCTAAAATGCCATCTGTTGGGTCTTTGCACGACTGTGAATACCTTAATAGGATCCTCACCCCAGGCACTCCCCTTTTAGTGCGGAAGACCAATAATCTGGCTCCATAGGTATCCCCACCCAGCTCTAAAGTCGGTATACAACCGAACCCCTCTCCTGGCACCCCCCGATCGGTGCGGAAGTCCAAAATCTTGGCTCTAAAACCGAAGTGTGACCCCATGAAGTCCCACCCTCGCTATTCCCATTCATGAAAGTCCTCAACAATGGCTAAATCAGCAATGTATGGTTTTGTTCCCAACTATGTAAGGTACAAGATGTAGTTAATTACCTTGTCTTCATAAACCCCAACATGTCTCATTAACACACATATTCAAATTAAATGCTACACCAATTCAATTTAGTATTCTCGTAAATGTAACATTTTCTGGTGAGGTGTATTTTAATCGTGAATGTTGTCTCCCTTTAATTGTTTACTATATTATACCCGTTCAAATCAAAACATACATTTTCCAAGTTGTAAATTCATATAATACATTCATACAATAATACAATGCATACCCTTGCATAAAATGATTTCAGTTAATACAAGTTGTAATAGCAGTTGTAACATGTTCTACAAACGTGACATGATATCTGGTAAATGATTGTCTGTTCCTTTGATGTGTTCAATGTTAAATTTGAATTGTGATATCAACAATGCCCATCTATATACCCTTGGATTGCTATTGGCATCAATTGTTAATAATTTTGTCAACCCCAAGTTATCTGTTAAAATAGTGAATTCTTTTCCCAAAAGAAACTTCTGAAACTTTTTTAGACTAATAACTAGTGCCAACGCTTCTCGTTCAAATGTATTGTATTTTTGTTGAGTTTGGTTAAGTTTCTGTGACATATACATTACTGGGAGTAATGTTTGTGAATGTTTCTGCGCAAGCATACTAGCAATTGTGTGACCGCTGGCATCTGATTGTAGAAAAAATCTTTTGGAAGGGTCAGGTTGTCTCAAAATAGGATATTTTGAAAAACAGTTTTTTATTTTAACTAGAATTTCCTCATGTGTTTCATTCCAATCTGATTTTTTCAATTGTTGATTCTTTAATAACTCTGATAGTGGTGATGTTAGTGCTGCTAAATTTGGGATGAATTTACCATAATAGTTTATTAACCCTAGTAGAGATTGGAGTTGCTTTTTTGTTTTAGGTTTTTGGATCTTCAAAATTTTCGAAACAATGTTTTCATCTGTTTGGACTAAACCTTCGCATATAACATGTCCTAAGTAATCAATTTTGGTGTATGCAATTTCAGTTTTTAAAGGATTAACTGTCAATTTTGCATCATTTATTCTTGATAGGACTTTTTGTAGAGTAGTGCAATGGTCGTGCAATGTTTTGGTGTGTATACAGATGTCATCCATGTATGCTGTGACGTGAGGAATTGCATATAACAGTTTCCTAACCATTTTTGTGAAAATTTTCGGAGCATTTATTAACCCAAACGGTAAACGCAACCATTGTTTGAGTCCAATTGGAGTTTGAAAGCTAGTATATTTTACAGCTTCTGGTGTTAATGGTATTTGCCAGTAGCCTTTTGAAAGGTCAATTTTTGTAAAAAATTTTGAGTTATATAATTCTTGTATGATTTCATCTGACGAAGGGATGGGCTCAGTTTCTAAATAGGTAATTTGGTTTAGTTTCCTATAATCAACACACAAACGTAGTGAACCATCCTTTTTCTTTACTACCACTAAAGGCGAACTGTAGTTTGATGTGGAATCTTCAATGATTCCTTCTTGTTGTAGTTGTTGCAATTCTGATATAACGTTATCGATATAATGGATAGGTATCACATATGGTTTTGATTTCACTGGCACTGATGAATTCAACTGGATATCGTAACTGATTATGTTAGTTTTCCCAGGTTTATTTGTGAAAATATCTTTGTAATGAAAAATGATGCTCCACAATTTTGCTTTTTCATTTTCTGATAGTTCTTCATTTAACTTTATCGATTTCCAGTTCACTTCATTTTTTGTTGATGGTGTTGGAATATCTTCTTCTATAACATCAGGTAACTCTTCATTAATTACATTACATAAATTTGCATCAAGTACATCATCATCTGACATCAATAGTGATCTTTTAAAATATGGTTTAAGCATGTTTACATGAAAAATTTTTAACTTTTCATCAATTTTGATTTCATAATCAACATCAGAAATCTTTCTTGTAACAACAAAAGGACCTGACCATTCTATACATAACTTGTCTGACTTCTTTGGTAACAGTAATAACACTTCATCACCAGGGTTATATTTCACAAGTCTTGCTATTCTATTCGCATACTGTCGCTGTTTTAGACTGGCTTCTTTCATTGCTTCGTTTGCCTGTTGACAAGCAATCATTATTTTATTTCTCAGATCTGTTACTGATTCATAAGCTGATTTTTCTGTATCCGTTACTGTTTTTCCTGTGATAAGCTTATTATATAGCTGCAATGGTCCTCGAGGATTTGCCCCATATACCAGTTCAAATGGCGAAAAACCTGTTGAGCTATGGGGAATTTCTCTATATGCAAACATAATGGCAGGTAATAAAGTATCCCAAGACTGTGGATGTTCAAACGATATTCTGGCAAGCATTGTTTTTATGGATTTATTTAAATCCCGGACGAGCCCCCATCTGCGATGATTCTCTTTTATCTTCTACTGGCTCGCCTCATCGCATGCTCGCTGCCAACTCACAAAACCGACATCACACGTCGAGCAGAAAAAATGGACGACTGGGAAACAACACAATACTGTTCCAGTACTTTATTCTTCCACTCGCGGCTTACACAGCCGGCACATGAACTTGACAACTGTCCAGGCACACATTATAATGCAAGAATCAATTATTACCTTCAAGCAGAAATCCCAATCGATTTACACTAACATCGTAAACGAAACACAACAGCTGTCCTGACAGATACACTCAGACGACCGGCAGACATGTTACTGGCCAGCTTTCTTCGCCAAGTTGGACTGGAACAAATTCACTCAAAAACATCTGCTGAATTCACACATCATCCACCGCTGTCCATGCACACTGTTCCTGGGTCCAAAACGAGACTGCCCACAAACCTTTTCCTCGCTATTATATAGCCCTCTGATCTCTGATTCTAGAATATTCTGGATTCATTCTCACGAATTTCCCACTGTTGAAAGTCGTGTCTGGCCCGTGATAAATTCACATTTCACACAAATCCTGTGAACAATCATGTTTCACATAAAACCTGACTTTCAGATGTCTCTCATGAAACTCAAGACATAAATCTCGTGTTATCTCAGCCAGTCAAAACATTCGTCTTACATCTATTACTGACGTCATCTATCGGGCATAAATTAATGAGGAGAAAATGACTCACTACAAAAGGGTATCATATGTGGCTAGTTCAACGTTATACAACACAAAGTTTTTAGACTGAATTCTTTGTTACCTACAACACAGTTTATCCTATGTGGCTAAAAACAACATTTTATTGCCCATAATAAAGTTTATCTTAGAAGGCTAGAGTCAACACGACAAATCTTATCTTATTTGGCTAGAGTGAGCACTTTGTTTCCCACTGTTAAGTTCATCTTATGTGGCTAGAGTCAACACTTTGCTCTGCACGACAAATCTTATCTTATGTGGCTAGAGTCAACATTTTGTTACCCACTGTGAATTTCATCTTATGTGGTTAGAGTCAACACTTTGTTAGCTATTATATCTTAACCATGACAATTTAAAGAGAAAAAGTTTTGCCCGGCTCTCTAGCGTAGTTAGCTAAACCGTAATTCGCGGTGACCGGGTGACGAACTCCTTGTGGTCCGGGTTCACTCCCGGGGGTAGGCAGAAAAGCCACATTTATCCCAGATTTACAGTATTTACAATGGAATCAAGGCCGAAAGGTTGCAATATCCATAATACCGAGCCTAAGGGTTAACAACTCATGGCTTCTGGATACTAAAACAAACAAAGAAAAAGTTTTCATTGAGATGTTGTGTGCTAAACTCACTTGGTGGTTTAATTGTACCAGGCATCAGGATTGTGATCGCCTACGCGGGTCGTGGAGTGGCTAGATGATGATGATGATAGGTAGAGGTGAGTGCCAAAAGATCCACAAGGTTAGCTTGAGATTAACAGCTAACAGTGATCTCTACGGGGATTGTGAAAAACATGGAGGCGTGGTGCTGTGGGCATAGCCAGCCTCTAGTTAGCTTTTATGTATAGTTTATTGGTGACCCAAAGTGTGGGCAAATAAACAAGGCGTTCCTTAAAGGCTACTGGTGACCCTAGGAGGGGGCCTTTAAGCCAAAAGGAGTTAAATGTTGTGGACTCATGTCGAGTCAAGGCTAGGTTTCGCTTTTTGAGGTGATACCACCTTGGAAGTATACCCATTGGTATCAGGGAGCATTAGACGGACAGTAGTTCTGTAATCACCAATTCATCTTCAACATCACACTGTGTTTCGTCCCAATAAATAGACTAGTGCACAACTACAGAGATGACTCTTCCCGTATTGTTGATGTGGTTGGCTGCTGCTGACTGTAATCGGTGTTAGTTTTATGATGTGACTATGTGAACTGTTTAAGTTAAGCACTCTTCGGTAGGGTACCCAATTAGTCATTAGAAGGCCAAGTTATGAACTTTTGCATATATGGATGAAGGGTTAAACATTCATCCCCTAAACACTTCACTACAGATGTATCCAACAGTAGGATATGATCAAGTAAAAAAAAAAATATACAGAATCAAAACAAACACAAACATGCTAACATAAATGGTTGCCTTACGCTGCTTTACAAGCTGACTGGAAAGCAATCCACCAGGGGTTCTCATCAGTAAGAGAAACCGTTTCTGAACTGTTGCCGTCCTGGAAAAAGATGTAGAAAATAATGCACACTTGCAGTCTAATGATTATCTGTGTACAGGACAGTAAAATGCAAATACTGCTCACACATCATCATGATGTGAGAAATGCTGTTAAGTGTGAACAGTCATAGTTTGCCATCTCACATAATCTCTAGTGGCTTGGATCAGGTCTGTGTTTTTGCAAAACTTATGCCATCTAGGTATATATCTTTGTCTTTTCATTGCTCTTTTTCTATCATTGGTTGTCATTTAATTAATTTTTTTTTTTCTCATAAAGTGTCCACAAAATCATGTCTGTTTATGTCTAATTTCTCTAACAGGTTGAAGATTCTTATCTGTTTCTTAAAGGACTCCCTCTTTCGCTTTTCTATCCATCCATCCTTGTCTTTACTCTATCATAATTATCTAAGAACCTCTGAAAAAAAATAGTTTGCCATTTCTCAAAAATAAAAAGTTAAAATAAATAGTCCTCAACAATGACCAAGTTAAAACAAAAGAAAATATTTCTTTTTTCTGATCTATTAACTCTTTTAGTCCAAGTAAGTTCTGGCAGCAGATGGCCAAGGAAGAATTAACTCCTATGAAAAATCTCAAGAGCAGTACTAGTAAAGAGGCTTAATAAACAGAAAAAGTGACTGGTATGGACGCCAGATTTCCTTAGCATGCTTTGACCAAATGTAAAAACTAAGAGCACAGAATACTTGATGACTGGGATTCAATTAGACAAGCTCCCCCATGCTGATAGTGTTTAAACACAGTTATCATTACAGCATACTGCAGCCTTTTTGGGTGAAGCTTTTTTTTTTTCCTTCAGGCTAAGACAAACGGCTGCCATGCTTCGAAAAGCCTAGGATTCTTATGTAATGATAGATGCAAATAACATTTTACTGGCAAAGCTGCCTATGTAAAATATAGGGTGACTGCAGTCAAGCTATTACAAGGAGTTCCAGTATGATATTGGAATTCCTGCTTATGTAAGCTGACATACTAGCATTTAATCAGATCTGTATGGAGATGATTTTCCAATGCCAGGCAGTCAGTGTCTGTGAACACAGTTTCACAATCCTGACACATTTAGACTTGAAGTTAGCTAGCTATTTGGTAGCAGACCACATGTTGCTGATTCAGACAACAGTGTGCATGTTGTACTATTCAGAGAGCAATGGCACACTAGCAGAACTTAAAACTGCCTAGAAAACCACACAACAGTCAACAAATGTTGGGGCTGAGTAGCATAATCCTGAAAAACAGATATGAAACTAACTAGTGGTCAAGCAAAGGTTAACTTACCACAAGCATCTCTGTTATTACATCATCCCCAGCCTCCTGGCACCACTGACTAATCTTCTTCTTCAATGCTGCCAAGTTTTCAGTCGGTGGAATCCTCATGTCAAACACTGAAAACAAAAGGCTGCTGTAATCATTTTTGTATGAAGTTGTACAAACTTTTGGGTTTATGCCCATTATCCGAGCTACATGACATGGCAGAAGCTTACAAGTTCTGTAAAACAAGCACATACCCTGCTAGTGCTTAAAATGAGATACCAGTTATCCCCTTATACACAGCTTGGTGACTTTACTTTTCCATACACCTGCGACTGAAATCACTGTACCTATCTTTCTTCCCTTTTAACCATTTTCTGCAGCTACTGCACACATATATTGATAACGTTCAACTGGCAAAGGATCTCAAACATGTATAGTCTGGACTCAAGAGCTTTAATTTATATTCATTGGATAAGCCTCTGAATCACTTTATATATTTTTGCTGTAGACACAAAAAAGATTGTATGGTCTGATTTCCTGTTGTATTTTTTCTTGTTGTATGTCCGTAAGTCTAATTTGGTTTATCTCTTTATCAGTGCAGTCATTTTGATACAATTCAAATTTTTTTCCTATATATATATAAAGCTGCTTGATTTGGGCAAGTCTTTTAATATGAGGTCTCTATTGATGAAAGGCTAGGAGAAAGAGAATCATTCACCTGATCTCAAATTATCAGGATCTAGTTTTCAGGAATTACTACCACTTAATGATTTCCCCTCAGCATCCTTACTTTTTGCTCCAGTACAGTTGTAGAGGGTATTGAAAAAAATCAAACACAGAAAAGATACAAGGAATTTAGCTAAAATGCTCAAGACCGTTCTCTGTTTTCAATCAGTCCAACTAGTACAGCACATAAGATAACAGAACAATTATGGGCAACTGGATAATTTTGAGAACTGTCTGGAAGGACAATATATAACAAGGAAAGGAATTGACTGACTGACTGACTTTCTACCCCACTAGGACATCACATAAGCGATAAACACCCGATGACAAAAAGCGCCACCATGCAGATGAGGATCACCATGCTGAGGTCCCAGAAACCGCATTCAAACAATTGGCCATATTTATGGCCTGCCTATATTGCGGCCCCTGGCAAAAGCCAGGGTGGGGCTTCAAATAACCAAAAATTTCGTCCTAAAAAGGACGAAACTGGATATGGGAAAGGAATTGGCCAACATACCTTATTACAGTGTGGTCAAGAACTATTTTTTTCCTTTCTGGGGTCAAAATCGCTTGGGGAAAAAAATATTAACAATATTAATCAGTAAATAAAATATTTTAAGAGAATGGTTTTTGATACTAACCTGCTGACAGAGCAGCTGGGACAACATTAGGTTGGACCCCACCCTGTGGAAGGATCAATAAGAGATCAAACAGACAGCACACAAAAACATAAAACATGTACAATTAACATTTGTGTTATGACATCTGCATCTGTGACTTAGGCGTTGCGAATAAGCCTCATAATTCCAGGGTGCCAGGCTAGATCCCAGCTATGGGTGATTTGGCAGCAGACCGCCTTGTGTTAGTTTTGACAGAGGTATTGAGAGCTGACTGTTGGGTAGGCAATGGCTAAACTAGTGAACTTGAAATTTTTTATAAAATGACAAACAGCCAAAAAAATGATGGGGGATGATTCTGCAATGTCCTCCACTGGACACACAACTAGGTTCTTAATTTATAACGTACCCCAAACACGAAATCCCCGTGGGAAATCCACAGCTGACCTGACAGTCCATTATTTCAAGGGGTGGAAGTGTGCTGTTGTGTGGTGCTTTTTTTGAGTGTTCATCTAGTGTCTTCTAATCCTAACCCTAACCCAAACCCAAACCCTAACCCTAAACTTGGCTGTAGATAAATCACGAGAAACTACAACCTGAACACCCTAAAATTTATTGGGAATGTCTCCCGTGACGTTGTTGTGACGTCAGGGGTAAGTTATAAATTAAGTACCTACAACTAACTAACTATCTTTCTTTACTGTCTTCAATTCCCACATTTTTATCAAGAAAAGTGTGCAATATGCAAGGAGAAATTTTGAGTGTAAACTGCGAAATTATGAACTATGAGTAGTCTGATATCTCATGAATGTGGATCTGCACTAACAATTTGTCATGAAAATCATGACTGGGATATATCAATCTCAACTTCTTGATATGATCATCTTCTATGTTTATGTTTATTTGACGGATCAACATCATGGCACACGGGTGTAACCCATAAGGCTCTGTTCTACTTCTAACTCAAGACTGAGTCTGAAGAATCTCAGTGCAATGCACGAACTACGTTGTACCAGTGAGGATCCTGAAATACTTTGGGTAGATTTTTAACTCCAAATTTGGCCCAGGCAGCGCCGTGAGGCTACTCTTTAAATCCCCTTCATCAATGTGCTAAGATGGTGGCAGAGAATAAGAACATAACTGCTGATCCTGCTTAGAATAAGCATGCTGCTTGTTTCCTATTAGAAACGCATCATGATAGAATCAAGCCATCATCATCCTGTAAACAGTGCATGGAACGTTCACAAGAGTTCCTTGTTCTTGTGAGATGTAACAATATTTCTCAGTGCCTCATGATGAGAGTACTAACCTCTATTTGGGTCATATTAACTGTGAGGAAGCTGCCTAGACCTTGTTCTGGGTTCTTCTTGAACCTGAAAATATAAAGGATCTTAAAGAGTTGATTTAACTGTATTTGTTCCTTTCTTATTTAATTGTCTGCAAAACTTTTTTAAAGTCTAATTATTTATATAACTTTCTTATATAATTGCAGATTTAAATATTAATTATTTTCGTCTTGAGCAACTTTTTTTTTTAAACATCTGTCTAGGTTTGACTCTTTGGATGTCCAAAAGAGAGCACTAAAATGTTATGTAGAACCCATATTGCTGTATGGTAATAAATCATGGAATGTGAATGCACAGATTAGAAAGATCTTGTAGGTGATGGAGATGTGGTTTTTCAGACATATGTTAAGAATTCCTTGGACTGCCAGAGTAACTAACAAGGATTGCTTGAAGGAAGCTAATGAAAGCAGATCAATATTTACAGCTATAAGAAAAAGACAAGCACAGTTCTTTGATCATGTGATCATGAAGGGGAAGGCTATGGATAATATTGTGACGACTGGGAAGATCAACGGTAGAAGAGGGAGAGGCAGATCGAGGGAGATGATGACGGATGGACTGTGACGGTGGTATGGAGGGATATCATCAGTGGAACTAATCAAGAGAACAAGGGACAGAGATCTGTGGAAATGCATGAATGCATTTACCAGTCAGCAGGCCACATGATGATGATGAGGTTTGACTGCCTGTATTCACCACTTTTTAGGTGTGCGGGCAAGGGTGAGGTTTGGGGATGGGTGTGTGCTGAACATAAGGATTTAAGGAGTGCATCTGCCTGAGCTTCGAGGAACCAACAGTCTGCATACAAATAATCTAGATCTATAAAATGGATGTGCATGCTGAACTCAAGTTCTGGGAAATACCTCAAGTCCAGAAGTGGACAAACAACCAACAGCTGGTTGAAGCAAAGAGGACACAGATTTTCCAGAGAGAAAAAATCTGTTTTACTAAGGATGTAAACATGGGTCTCTTGCAATATTCCAACCATTTGGCCAGCCAAAACTATCGACATAGCTGTGAATGTTTTCAGATTCTCAGCATAACTTCAAATTCACAACATTACCAGATCTATATTGTTTCGTCTTTCTTCTTTCAATAAAAAAATCAGCACCCAGCCACCTCTAATCAAACCCCTTCTAGGTTTGATCATGAATGGTTTGATTTTGCAGCTTATCTTTTCTATTAGATGACAGCCAATTTCAGATATAAATTGCTTCAGTAATCCCTTGTGGTATATAAGTGATAGTGTTATAATTCTCTGCTTTCTTTTCAGGTCATGGCAACGTACATTTATCATACATCTTTTGTTCTTAATTAATTTTTTTTACAATAGTGTGATTTTCCTGTCCTTCATTTCTTTCCGATGAGACATTTATGAACAGGTTCTAGTGTTGGTTAGAATGTTCTTCCATTCTTGATTCTCTAAAATATTGAATGTTATTGCTTTGTGAATTATAGTTATCAGTTCACATACAAACTGCATGGATGTTATATTAAGACTATTAAAATGTCGGTCAACAGTTATGACATACCTATTCTCTTCTGCATCCCTCAAATCCATAAATCTGTTCACAACATATTGCTAAACAGAGACAAAATATAACTATTAATTTGAATGAACAGTACAACACACAAGCAAATACTATATCAAATTAAAACTGCAAATAAAACAGAGAGCAATGCAGATTTTTTTAGCTGGGCAAAGTCAGAGAGTTTACTTGAGAAATTATTCCTTCTTCTTCTTGTTTGTGTTCAGCTGTAAACTCTGGCGGAAAGTTCTGGTTGTTTATCCATTTCTGGACTTCTGTTTTACTTAAGGACCTGAGTTTTGTCTGCACATTCTTTTTATAGATCAGATTTTTATTTTTGTTTTTGGGGTGGACTTAAGCAGAAGCAGTCTGACTTAAAAGGAAACACCCCAATCAGTTGATTTTTACGATATGCCTGTTGGGGGAGGATGGGGAAGACAGTGGGTTTATTCTTTTTCTTCTTAATATGTGGCTCCTGAATCCACATGGGGAAGAAACTGCTCCAAATGCTTGTCAATGCTACAGAGCTTGTATGCTGTGTTATTAATGGGAAGAAATGTGTAATCAAAGTGATTCTCTAACAACCAACCAAAACTTTAAATAATTTCCACTGCTGTTAGCTAATTGTTTATTTTCCTTACATTGTCCCGCATTTATCTTAAATTGTTTTTTTTTAAATTTCTTTTATTCAGGTGTATTATTTTTGTTCTATGCCACCAGAATCGTCTGTGACTGGCTGACGTTATCTAAGGGAGGGAATTACCATGCTTCATAAGATTCTCCTCCTTTGTATTTTGTTTAAACAGTAAATGTTCCTGTTTGCCATGCAGCGTAAGGCCTGGTGAAAAAAAGGTCTAGCCCCATATTTGTAGAATGAATGAATGGCGTAAAAGTAGCTACTTCAGTCAAATTTTTAAAATGCCCTCTACACCAATAAAACCAGCACAGTTAGATAGCTGTAAACAATTTCTTTCCAATGGTACCTCATTTAGGCTTGCATGTCATTTCTGAGCTGAGATATGTAGGTTTTTGTGGAGATGAGATGTAAGAAACAGCCGCTAAAACTTGTGACCCAGAAACAAGAAGTTTTTCTCTGCGCAACATACTGCGCAGTTCTGTATCGGCTTTGTTGACATTGGACTGTCATTGGACAAGATGGCAGGCAATGAGACTCAGCCACTGGCTGAGCCAACAATTGCCTGAAAAATGTCACTGTACATCTACCAAGCCACCGTTCAGAAAGAAATTTTATACACAAATGTAAAATTGGACAGAGAATTCAATTATAACTAGCATTACCAGGACGAGTAACAGTTAAAGCCTAAAGCCAACCTGAAAAACTTATCGCTATTTTCAATCAAACTGATGTAACAGAAAAACAGAGGACGTCCGGCTGTCGTAGACATGCGCTGTTAATCGGGTTCCTTCCCGCTGTTTTCAGCCATTTAGAGTGGGTGAAAATCACACCAATCGCAAAATTTCATGAGAGATTAGGACCCATCCCGAAACCCCAGCCGACATTTCCAAAACAAGTTTCAAACGGTTTCCATGGCAACGGAAATTGTCGAAAAGATCGCAAATTTCCAAAACTGTAGGCGCTAGTAAAAGGATTATTTATTTTACTTTTCATAATTAATTTAAAAAACAAATAAATATATAGACACACACACACACACATATATATACCCATGTGGGTTCTTGGGTCACATCATCAGGAAAACAATAACAGACCCACTGTCTCCCCAATAAACATGTCATAGGAGTTGTCTAATTGGGGGCATCGTTCAAAGTTAGATTGCCTCTGCCTAAAAGGCAGGGAACCAACAGTCTGCATATAGATAGGGCAGATCAGTGAAACTGATGTGCACTTAGGTTTTAGAAAAAGGCTTAAGTCCAAAAGATGACAAACAACCAGAACTTTCTACAGGAGTCTGCAGCCAGGGAACACAAAGAATAAGAAGAAGAAATAAAATAAGTTTTACAAATTTCTTAGCTGCAGTATTTTCAATGAAACTGTGAACCATGGCCAGGTTGTCCTTTGAATGTGATCTTTATCCCTGCAATAAGTTAAAGAAAACACAATTATTTCCACTATGTCCTCTGATAGAAGAATTGCTGTGATTATATTACCAACTCAAAAAAAAAAAAAAAAAAGTTAATTGTAGACCTTTTGTAAGATTTGGGCAAACCAGACTAAATATTTGTTGTCTGTTTATGGTTTTAGTAGGCAGTTTTACATTTAGTAGTTTGCCATTGTCCTCAATGGTCATACCAATGTAAACATGGACTGCTGTAAAACTGCCTGTAAATTAACTGAACCAGAGATGTGAGAATTATTTAACTTCTTCATAACCCCCCCTAAACCATAGACACTGATTGACATACAGTGTATGTAAATAAATTTAGAATATTCTCTACACTGCCAATCAAAGAGATGAATGGAGGCTGGTGATATTTGCAACACTGCCAATCAAAGAGATGAATGGAGGCTGGTGATATTTGCAACACTGCCAATCAAAGAGATGAATGGAGGCTGGTGATATTTGCAACACTGCCAATCAAAGAGATGAATGGAGGCTGGTGATATTTGCAACACTGCCAATCAAAGAGATGAATGGAGGCTGGTGATATTTGCAACACTGAACCAAAAGAGCTTAGAATGTTGAAGAAGTCACTAAAGTATAGACTGATACACTATTATTAAAATAGGTAGTACTGCTATTGGAATCAGTTAGTCAGTCAGTCAGTAGCATGTCCTTTGCGAAACCTAGCTCCCATAACAACCTTCTAGAAAACTTCTCGATCACAAGCAAGATGTCCTGCGTCCGATACACCCTTCCGTAGATCATCCGCTACATCCTGCACCCATCTTCTCTTTGGCCTTTCTCTTCCCCTCTACCCAGGCATATACGCCCTCATTATTGTTCTCTCTAAACTTATGTGACATTTAAAGTGACCAAAATATTTCAATTTTCTGTGTTTTATCGTCTTTAATAGCCAACCTTCCTCAATATTCAGTTCCTGAATATTGCATTTGTTCTTTTCTTGACCCATGATATTCGTAGAACCTGTCTATAACATTTGTTTTCAAAGGCATTTCTACTGTAATCACAGAGGCAAAATTTAATTACAGTTTGCTATGAAGTTTTGAGTATATGCCTTGACCTGCTTGAAACAAAAATACTGATGAGAAAATTAAAAAAACAAATTACATGTGTAATATTTACTCATTTCAGGCACCTCCTGTTGTGAAGGAAGCATCTTTACTATGTTACATTTTGATTTCAGAGGTTGTTATCTAATCTGCAGCTCATGTTTCAGAGAATCATTCATTTCAGTTGCTTTTTTGTTCTTGTTCTGTTAACTGTTCCAAAACAACTGAGATTCATATTTTCAAAAATTTAAGCCTAAACTATCAAAGATATTTCTCTTGACCATCCACTTTTTGATACCTGCAGTTTCTGAATCAGGAAGTGATTCATTTAAATTCTGTGTCATACCATATTTCCAAATGAGCACCATTTGAAGGTTGCTCACTTATAATGGGCAAGCTTGGCCTTTCTCCACAGATTACCATATTTCCCAGTCTCTGTGCATTCCGTCAGTTAAATAACTTTCACTTCAAATTAAAATGTTGACGTCTCCACAATGGAGGTTGATTGCAATATTTGCATTGCCAACAATGGAATACTTCAGGATGCGATTCTCGTACCACTGTCTGAAAGCGATTAGCTGAAATTTTGTCACTTGATGTGTGAATGAAATGATGTAAGAATGGAGGGAGACCTCGAAGGGCAGAATGTTAGACGGGCCTGCGTGCCCAATTCTTAACCCTTTCAAAATAAAGTTTGTTTGTTTGTTCGTTCGTTCGTTCGTTCTCTCTAAGCAACTCATCGCGGGGATCAAACCCTGGTACATGTCGATTAGTACATTTATATCAAGCATGTCTACTTACACCAGATGGAACGCTCCCCATAAAACACTCTCATTTTCTCATCGGGACTTGCTATACCTGCATGAAATAACAGTAAAACAAATAGAACAGTTTAGATGGAACAACTGGTCGGGTAAACAGCTCAAAAGAAGCAGCTTCATTCAAATACAATCAATCAATCAATCAATCAATGTATTATTATCGCCTTGAACAGCACTACTTTTTTGGAATAAAGAAGCTGCAAAAAATACATTGCACAATTTACTGCTTGGCATATTTCACTTTCTCTTGTCAGGGTCATATGACTGCAACAACTGTTACAATAAAGCAAATAAATTAATCCTTCTAACTGACACACAAAATTGACTACACTCATAAGTAACTACCTGTTTAATTTAGGGCAAATACAGGTTCACAACCATGTCCTTTTGTTTCTATGCATCTGGTTTATTGTTGTCACTTCCACCTAGCCTTGCATTCTGTGACATGTTAAGATATGGTTTTTTTTCTTTTTTAAATTTTAATTTAATTTACAGGAAGTTTTCAGAACCAACCCCAGCATTTGCTAGCTGTTTTGGTTTTTCTAGGTTATTTTTATTTTCAGTAGTTTTCCTCAGGTTTGTTTGCAATGCCTCAGCCACAGACTCTAAAAATGCATCATCCCTTTTTCCCCTGCAGAAACTTTTTTTTGGGGAGGTTTTCCAAAACTGCCATCTTAGTGTTTCTGCTATTGAGACAACTCATAATGTTTACGTCATGAAACACTGTTACAAAATATTGCAACTCAATCAAACTAATGAAAGTTAATATTAATATGTAATGTTACTTAATCACAGTACACAGCTGTGACAGCCACACCTCATACCTTCAGTTAAAATGTTAGCAAATATAATCACATCTGGTCCATTTAAACACCATACGTCACAAACAGTAATAAACCAATAAACAGGCATCACTGGATCCGATCAATGCAAGGAAACCAAAATACTGGTTTCTCTGCAATGTGAAATGATGCCACAACTTACATGTGACTAGCAATTGGCTCACCCTGGTGGTCAACTACAATAGATTTATCTGTGTATGTTAGATGATACTATATTCCAAATCAATTTATAATAGTCTTTACAGGTGACAATAGGATATCAAACACTCAACAAAAGACAACTTCTTCTGTAATAAGGACACTTACCTTCATCTAAACCAAATGTGACATTTAGTTTTTGAAAATCTTTTGACTGGGAAAATAATTCTGATGGTTTACTGCCAACTTCTTCATCTGAGAATACAGAAAGTCACATTGTATCCATCTCTTACAAGTTGTCCTTAGCTTTAAAGACAAATAAATGAGAAAGTCCTTCATAAAACAGATGAAAACTGTAAACAGATTGGAAACTAGACACAGCCAATCATTGTTTTTCCACACAAGTATACATGTGAAGACTTAGTAACAACTTGATGGTAAAAGAGAAAGAAGAAGACAAACATAACTATCTGGGTGACTTTACCATGGTCAGGAAAAGTACACAGACCTGATCCATGATTCTGATGATTATGTGAGATAGCAAACCCATAATCACTTAGGCTTACTGGCACACAATGAGGATGATGATGAATGACTTAAATATATAACAAGTATGTTCAGTGGTGGTGCACTAATGTAAATTACAGCATGTGAGAAGATAGGAAGTAAATGAAAAAGTAAAAATTGAAGTCAAGAGAACCGGACTTTACTGAATCGGGTTATCCCATACAGCTTGGTCTCTCAGCAGAATGGCTGAACACCTGTCAAAGAGGCCTCACAAAATGTGAAACTCTGTATCCCCAGCAACAATCCCTAGGGATTTCTTCAAAAACTTAACTTTTAGACAGAATGACATCTTGAAATGGAATCATGACATTCAGTGCATGAGGCAAATGGCCAGAACGCTTCACCACAGAGACCCACTTGAGAAAGGAACAGGTGAGGGTTAAATGCCTAAGTGTAACTGCAGAAAGGGTCAGACAGAGAAATATATGAGGTAGTAATGAAAACTCACATTAACTTCATTTCAAAGCCAACCCACATGCTATGTATATTAAATATATATGTGTTTAAACTGTTTGTTATATTTCCTCTTCCCATGCTGTGTTGCACTGGTCATCAATATTAATCCATTGCCCTGTGTCTCACGTGCTGTCTATTATTTCTCCAATCTTCTATTTATTCCTGGCATTTAGTTTGCAAGTTCAGGTCAGACCTATGAGTCTGCATGTCAGCTGCAGATCCTCCATGGTTTCCCATAACTTGCTCAGCCAACTTTGCTCTTGAGGCTAAGTTTATCTTATTAGGTGTAAGCATAGAGGGCAGGCCTGCAGAATGTGCTCAGGTGTTCGATATGCTCACTGTGGGGACTGTACAGTCTTTATTTTATATCAGTTCTAATGTTCAATCATGCCTTGCTTCAAAACTAACCCACATGATCTGTCATATATTTCTACAATCAAGCTTTTTGAGACAAACTATACTTCTGTTAGCAAAGAAATATACCAAAAGTAAAAAAATAATACAACCCCCCATCCCCAAATACATTCATGCTGGTAGTGAGAACAATTTTTTAGGGCTGCAATATACAAACTATTACCCATAAATGTTTCTTAACCAAGTGTCCTAGCATGGAATGTTTATGAGATGCACAGTTAATGCTTCTAACAGTGTTCATGCCTGCGCAGCATTTACAAGGTCAGGATATTAATATAGGTTAAAAAAAAGTTAAGGACTCTTTTCCCCGCCTTTAGGCGTATAGGGCATATATTGCTAGACCTATATTTTTTGGGACCAATCGGCACAAGGTGGATGATGTGGTCAGCATCACGCCGGGGATATTGATATATTTACCAAAAATAGCATTTAGGGGAGTTTTCTTGTCTTTTTCTTCTTCGCTTTCACTGGCTTTAAACTCCAGATGAAAGTTCTGGTTGTTTTTCCACTTCTGGACTCTAGTCCTGTTCTAGAAACTGAGTATTGTGTGCACATCTGTTTCACAGCTGACTCATCTGCATACAGGCTTTTGGTTCCTTGCCTCTCAGGCAGATGTACTTCGACGGAAGCTCCCATTTAGTTGACTCTTACAACATGCTTTCTGGCAGGCAGTGAGTCCATTCTTGTTTTCCCCACAATGGGGCCCCGAAACACCACACAGGCAAGTTTTCTTGTGAATAAAAAGCTTTTTTTTTAAAGCTATGTTGACATGATAACAGCCCTGCTGTGCTAGTTTTAGAGGTCACAACATGAGTCACCCAATACTTATATTTGTCAGGTCCTAGGGAATGTATTCCATTTAATGTTTTATAATTTCAATCTTTATTGATTACTTCTTTGATGCCTCTTTACAAATTAAGAAAAATATCTTTTAAAGATGCTTTTAAATACAATTATAACAACTTTATTAGTCATGTATGCAATATTATTGTTTTTTTTTTTTAAAGGATTTCCTGGGGGTCATTTCCACAGGTTCATGTCCAATTTTTGTAGTGTTACTGGGGCACAGGGTTAACAGAAATTAATCCTGCTCACAACATATTGTTCTTTAAACAAAATATAAAAGGATTTAACATATAGGTAGTTCTTTTAAAGAAATAGGGGAATGGTGCTTATTTATTTAAGTACATTTAATTACGATAATTTTCAGGACAGCACATTAAATGTAAACCTTGTAGAGCTACCTGAGGTAAATAACAGATGAATAGTCCTTAAGAAAGTCTGGCCTTGTGTCTTCAATCGCCTGATTGCCTCTAGATACCTGATGACATGATAGGAAATGTATTAATCATGCAAAGGGTTTTTAATGGCGAACAGATCCACCTAAAGACAGAGAGTTTTATCCTGTATGGTTCAGTCTTGCTCCGCTGAGAGACTTGTCTCCTGTCGAGAGCATCACACAAAGGATGAGCTCTATAGCTTCAGTGATGACCTCCAGGGGACTCTGAAATACTGGTAGTTGTTAATCAAGAACAGAGTCTGAAACAGAACCTATTATCTTGAGAGCATGAAGCAAACAGCTTAGCCACTTTGCCATGAAAATTCATTGCATTAGCCATGATCCTTTTGAAATGCCACCTAAAAAAGGTTTTAAAAAACAACAACAACATTGGTCTACATTTGATGACATTCGCTGAGAAGGTAAAATTAAAAAAATGTGTCCCTTGTGGTAAGATGCTGCTTCCAAGAAACCAACAATCATGACTTAAACTTCTAAAAATAAGAAAATGTTTACAAAAAGAATTAAAGATAGCCATTGTTAAACATTTAAGAATAAAACTTCTCACAGCACACCATAATACTGTAATTGATCAACATCAGGAGCTTATGTAGCAAATTTGTGTAGTTTCTGTCTCACTCTCTCTCTCTCTCTCCCTCTCTCTCTCTCTCTCTCTCTCTCTCTCTCTCTCTCTCTCTCTCTCTCTCTCTCTCTCTCTCTCTCTCTCTCATGCATGTATGCAAGTACACATATGTAAACAGTGATTGTGTAAAATCTGACCCACTGACTTGATTGCAAACTGTAAACTTGCAAAACATATATTAGCAGATGTGGCAGAATTAAATATGGCAACTGTTAGGAAATGAGCATAGGTCCAGGGCTGTCTGAAGTGATTGCAGTACGTATTCAAATACTCATCCCACTAACTTGGGGATAGGATGGATAACGTTCAGAAAGAATAACTTTGGTTGCTCATTGATATATTTGGTCACAACTGTTAAAATATCTTTTTCAGAGTTGAACTATTTCTTGAAAGCCTTTTTATGGTAGAGGGTGGACTATACGTATTTTTTCATCTTTCTCTTGCAATTTTTCATTGACTAGATCAGTGTTTTCCAAACTTTTTTGGTCCACTGCCCCTTTTCTGTGTAAAAAAAGAAAAAAAATCATCAAACACCCTCTTTTCTCCTGATATATCATCAGCATGTGCCACACACACAAAAAAAAGCATAGGTAATCATCATTGTGATTCTAGTGTTTGTAGTATGTTGTCGATTAGAGAACTTTTTGTATGTATGGTGAAGCATAAACAAATCCCCGAGACACTTGGCAAGTGTGCGATGGCTCAGACAGATCGTCCATAGCAGACACTCTCCCCAAAAATTCTAGGAATAAGCTCGAGAATAGAACGTGGTTATAGGTTATATAGGTATACACACATATACAAATTAAAAGGAAACACAAGATAAAAACATTTTGATGTTAATTAATTAGTATGGCTTTTACAGTTGATAGGCTTGTATAATCTCTATAATCTCATCTTCTTAAAATGTATAAGTTCATTAACGAAAAGTAATAATAATACAGTCTAAAAATATGTTGTTTTTTTGTCCACCCAGTATATTTGCAATATTATCCTTGTCCATCCAGTATATTAGCAGTATTCTTCTTGTCCAGCCAGTATTTTAGCAATACTATCCTTATCCACCCCGTATATTAGCAGTATTCTTCCTGTCCACCCAGTATATTTGCAATATTACCCTTATTCACCCAGTATATTTGCAATATTATCCTTGTCCATTCAGTAAATTTGCAATATTTTTCTTGTCTACCCAGTTTATTAGAAAAATTTTGCAAATGGGAGCCCATTTTGAATTTTTTATATATAACAATTTATAAAATTTTAACATCAGATACATTAGAAAGTATAATTTACTAGTAAACAAAGAGATCATAGGACATAGTGTAGTATTGTTTTTCCTTCTTACCTTTGAAATGCTGCTCCGCGAAAACACAACATATGAACACAAATCCAAACAGAATGACATGAAGAACGCATTAAATCTATTCCAAGAAAACACCACTAATAAGTGAATCAAAAGTGAAGGTAAAATCATTAATGGTACTCAAAGACAAAATAAAAAAAACCTTACACATAAGAAACATATGTGACAGCCATTTTGTGTCTGTGACCTAAAGTCGATCATGGAAAAATCAGACACTTTGTTCGCCTGTGGCTTAGCTTGTTGCACACAGCTGAGCTGGAGTGCCCCATTGCCTTATAATTGTGAAACAAAGACTGTTTACCAGTGCCATGCTAAGAAGCTGACCATTTTCACACAGTATGCCTCAGAAAGTCGCTGAACATAAAATAGCAAGACAGGATCCCTGACACTGAAGTCCTTGACAGAGCTGGACTGTCTAGTATTTACTCATTTCTGAAAAAGTCACAGCATCCCTTGGCAGATCATATGGTCCGCATGCCTGACCACCGACTGCCAAGGAGAGTTTTCTATGGTGAAATACTAAAAGGAAGGCACTCTCAGGGTGGACAGAGGAAATGTTTCAAGGACAGCCTCAAGACCTCACTAAAAGACTTCTGTACTGATCCTAAAACCTGGGAAATCGCTGCATGTGACCGCTCATCCTGGCACTCCTCTCTTTAACGAGAAGCCGTGGCCCATGAAGCTGAAAGAACCGCAGCAGCAATTTAGAAAATACAAGCCAGGAAAGACACTTAAGCAAATCACCAGAGAGATGTGGCTTCTATTCCGTGTCCACATTGCTCAAGAACTTTCAGTGCTATAACTGGCCTTTTCAGCCATCTGCGCACTCATAAAACCTAACCCAGTCACCAGTGGATGAAAGGATTGGTCATCATCACTAGTGATGGATGAACAACAACAACAACAATGACAAAAAGCCTTGTAATTAGGGTGTTTAATGAAGAATTTCCCACCTCTTCTTTGAGGCTTCTTTACCAAAACAGTCTGTAAACACACGTGTACAAATATTGGGCGGGTACTGATTTCTGAGTTCATAAATTGAAAAAGCTTTTTGTTTTGACTCTGTTCTTTTTTTAGAGATTATTCCTGGGTCTTCCATAACTGTACTGGATAAGAATAGGTAGTTAACAGTTTTGGCGTGAGATTCATACATCATTATGTCAGTTTTATATTTGCATGCTGTGTCAATCCTTCTCATAAAATGATTTATAATTTTTCACGATAGTTTTTTTCTTCTTGAAATCTATGGTTCAGCAGGTGGCTCAGTAAGAAAATGCACCTATCTACGGGGATGCTTCTTACTGCTTCGTGTCATATTCATAAACTCATACTGTGAACCCCGCATAGGTGTCACAAGTTCGTTTTCGAGGCTTCAGCCCATAGGAGGCACACTGCATAAAAGATCTACCTACTCTAGTGTAGACTAGTATTCATGTCTTTCTAATGACTTCCCAATATATTCCAATTGACATAAGGGAGGTTTCCAAGCTTGGCTCACCCTAACTGTGATAGATTATAATGATCTAGTGCAGTGTTTCCTAAAATGTTAGCAAAATTAACGTGACATGTTGTAACTTACCATGATGTGACACATTTCATATCCTGAAAAAGAAGTTAAAAAAAACAAACATTCCAATTGACATAAGGGAGGTTTCCGAGCTTGGCTCACCCTAACTGCGATAGATTATAATGATCTAGTGCAGTGTTTCCTAAAATGTTAGCAAAAATTAACGTGACATGTTGTAACTTACCATGATGTGACACATTTCATATCCTGAAAAAGAAGTTAAAAAAAAAAAACATTTAAATAATTAACAGAGCAGGTCATACATATTTACAAGTATTTCTTCTTTTTCCATTTCTATTCTCTTCTGGCTTTACAAAACTAAGGTGAAACCTTGCCTAGTGTTTGCGTTATTTTAATTATACCTTGTCATAAAGTTGAATTCTTGTAAAATGCTGCCTTACTGTAGTGTTTGCCTTGTAGTATTTAGCTTGTACAAGGAGATGAATGCAGCTTTTACCCTCCTTCTACACATACTGGCTATTATAAACCTCTTACTTCATACAGCTGTGGTGATTCTGCATTAAATGTTTTTAAAAACAGTTTTTGTTGTAGTTGCTGCATGAGTGAAAGAACTAACTTATCTGTTGTTTCAAAGAATTAACTACTTGCTTTGTTCCACTTGTTGTCATTGTTCTTCATTTCTTTTCTCTACATAAAATATTCATTATTCTTCTTAAAGATCACAATTAAATTGTTTCCTGTTTTCCTTTGGGCTAAGCACTAATGTCTGGCATTGTAATATATACAGATATAATATTATCTGGTAAAAGGCTTTTTTTTAAAGAATTAATTCTGATGTAATCAACAGTGCACTTGCTTATCAAGGATGGTTACCCATGAGCATTGAGTTGAAGTCAATCTCTCCTTCTTCACATTCACCAGATGTTAACTCTGACGGAAAGTTCAGGCTGTTCATCCACTTCTGGACTTCAGTCTTTTCAAGAACTTGAGTTCTGCATGCACATCCATTTTTTCAGATACAGATATCAAAATGCAGACTGTTGGTTTCTCGCCTCTCAGGCAAAGAAAATGAGTCATGCAGGACAAAACCTGTTGCTGCAAAGTCAATCCTCTCGACTTTACACTGCACACTTCAGCACCTCGCTCAATGTCTATCACTCATCAACATTCACACTCTTGATAAAGCAAACATTTACACTAGAGCATGCTCCCACAAGAAAGCTTGCACTTATGTGAAACCAAAAAAACAAAGATAAACTGTAGCCTTTGATAAGAAGAATTCGTACTGTCTAATGATGTGGAAGGTTAATCCTACTCCAAAATGAAAGAACATATATGAAAGAAATGTGGATCCATAAAATGTGTTAATTAAAATAACTATGCAGTCTAGAATGCAAAGAATTCAGACCTGTGCCCCTCTTGCAAAAATATCTCCTTTTTCATCCTTGTGAGCACTGAATGGTGGGTACTTCCAATGTTCCTGTCAGACATAACAGGCAATATTCAAGTTAGCACAACTGAACCTGCTTAAAACTACATTTTAATTTTTAAAATCTGCTAAATGCCGAACAAAACTTCAGCAAGTAAAATATGGAGTTATAAGCTTCAAGGCTTAATGTTTAATTATGATTCAACATTAAACATTCAACATTAAATCACTCACAACATTCCCATAAGTGCTCTATCCAATCTTCAGCAGGAAAAATTTTAATGTGAAGGTAGGCTATCTTTAATTTTTTTTTTTAGGTCTTCCCCTTTATTTCAACTCTGTGTGTTTGCGAGTATTGTGTTTTTCTGCTTTTGTGTGGGTATTGAGTATTTTTTGTGTCTTGCTTATATAATGTTAGTCTGTTTACATTTGTTGCCGTATGATTGTGTCTGTATTGTGTTATGTGCAAAAAATTAAAAACAAAAATACAAGAAAGAAAGGGGTATGTGGGAGGTCGGTCATAGAAGGGGTATGGCCTCACTTTGGTTATTTTAAGGGTTTCAATTGTCTTTTTGTTGATTAGGTTGTGTAAAATTTATGCTTTATCCATCTCTGGTACCAGTTTTCTGCTGCTGCTGTGATGTCTTCTATGTCTGCGTTGTAAAGAAGCAGAAGGTTTGAATGTTCCTGTATTTCTCTTTCTTCACAAAGGATGTCCACGTGTTCTTGTGCCAGACCATCAATATAGTTTCTGTTTTGTCTATAGTAGAATTCAGTTTTTGCGGGCATCCAATACATAAATTCTTCTGGATCTGGGTCTCTCATATCATAACTCTTTCAAGAATTGTTTCCATATCCACTCGTCTCTCTCTGTCGTTGTTTCCGGCGTTGGGTCATCCCTCACCATTCTTTCTGTAGTCTCTCCTGTTTCTGGTATCCGAGGGGTGTCCTTAGTTTTCAATGATTGGTCTGGGGATAGGGGAGATAGGGGTGAGTCCGGAAGTTCCACATTTTTGAAAACTGCTTTGAGAAGTTGAGCCCTTAGGCTCTTCTGGTTCTAGTGGTGATCCTGGAAGTTCTTTATTCTCCAAAGCTGTGTTGGGTGCCTGGATCGTGGTCTTCATGACTGCGGGTGTGGTTGCCGCACCAGTTGATTTTGCTTTCTTTATTTCCAATGCAGCTTTGACTTTGCTCTCAACCACTGTGTTTGCCTTCTTTTTGGTAGTCTCTGTTGGAATTACCGCTATGGGTGCTGTAGCTGTAGCAGCGGGTTCTTCTTCTGTTGTCTTAGGTTTCTCTGCCGTTGAATGGCGAGGACTGTTCTTTCTCCTCTTTTCGGGGCACTTGTTGGTCCATTGATCATCCTGCTTGCAATACATGCAGGCGATCCTTCCTCCAGGCACAGTGATAAGCTCTTTGTGGTTGTTTTGTGTTATTCCGGGAGTATCCACGTAGATGTAATGGGGTACTGGACGCGTTGGTTCGCACATCGCGCCCCATTTCCTTTCGTCATGGTGTACAGAAAAGACTTCTGGTTTGTTGTCGCCTGTTGTCTCCCTAACTATGTCAATCACTCCTTCTGCGTTCATCTGGCTGGGGAGCCAGTTTAGGGTGAGCCGTTTTCTTTTTTTTTCGTAGTGCTCTATTCTGCATGTTACGTTGTCACTCTGCAGGTGTATTGTTTGGCCATGAAGTTTCTGAAACAATTTGTTTTGGCAGTCTTGAGGCAAAACGAAAAACCATTGTGTTGGGCATTCGTGCCTGTACAGGTCGATAATCCCTTTCTGTGGGATGGTGAAAGGTCCTATCAGAACTTCCATTAGGAAGCCAGGTTTGGCTTTTGCCGCTGCTGTTGGCCCGTCTAAGGTGACGACCAGGGTGTCTGCTCTGTGCAAGCTGTGGTTTTTGTATCTGTCTCTTGGCACTTTGATGGTTTCTATTTCTACGTTGGTCTCCATGTTCTATGTGAAGTGAATTAAACAGTAATCCAAGTTGTATTGAAACACGTGAATCCAGTTGAAATACTTTATGGTAATCCAGTGTATGAAATTTTAAACAGTCCGGATATTTACGCAGTTCCTGGAAGCTTCAATGGTAGTGTGGCAAGCAGTAGAAAACAATCCGCCATCTTGCCTGAATCTTGAAATATGTAACAATGTTGATATTCACCACTATCTTGAAAACTTCAATAGTAAATTGTGAGAAGTAGCTGAACAAAGTCCGCCATCTTGCCTGAATCGTTGGTTGGCATGCTGCTAACTTTGGGCGGCATGTTATCTACTCGTCTCGAATGTGTGCGTAGTAGAAATCGGTAACTGGTGTGATGTAGATCTTTAAGTAACTAGCAAAAGATGGCAGAAATATAAGCTAACATGTAGTGTATACAAAGAAAGAATACAAGTCTTTCTTCTACCCTCTATCTCCCAAAGGTCATAGGCCCTCAACAAACGCACACCTAGTTGTTATCCTTTGCTATTGCATGCAGCTCACCCCATGTCCTTCCTATTCCCCCCACCACATAATCTCTAATCCTCTTTTCCATGTATTCTCTGGTCTCTAGCCATGTAGGTTTCAGTACAAGGAAATACTAGTTATATTGTCAATAGGTTTTCCTAATGTATCCTATCCAACACCAACATCTGCTCCTCACCTCATGATACACTGCAATTCACTTTAGGAGTTTTGAGTATTAGGTGATAACACCATATATTTACACAACAACCGGCACTCGAATGGTGACCTAGTCAACATCACACCAACCAACTTTACATCACAAAATATGTTTTGGCAGCAGCTTAACACCGGGAATAAATCTTAAAATATCCTGATGAAGACTAAAAAACAGGATGATTAGGTCTGCAGGCAAGAATCAAATCAGCACTGAATGGAAAGCAAATCCAGGATGACTGTGAGTGAGTTGTGAGTCGAGGTTCCATGTCACTGCAGACGTGTCATTCCATAACTGTTGCATTCCTGTGTCAGAAGGAATTACACAAAAACTCCACCCTCCCATTTAAAAATAGTGAAAAACATATTCGTCACTGCAACATTTTTAAGCTCACTCATGCAAAGTAACTTCATAAGGCAGACATCCAGGGGGAAGTCCAGGATGATGACAACACTGTCATCTCGCAAAAATACAGCTAAGAGAGGTCTTAGGTTCCAGAAATGTTTTGAACAGTTTGATAAACTTATGCTGAAAAAAAAAGTTGAAAGTTGAAAGAAACAGATTCTGTGCATATAGTTTAACTCTTTCAGTCCCAAGGAACGCATCATACGTTCAAAGGTTTCGACCGAATTTATGTCACCCTGGCACTCAAAGATTTAATGTATAAATCATTCTCTCTCAACACACAGGATGGCCACCAATTGAGAAAATTGTGCAAAGCACAAACTCTGTGGCTCCCATGATGATGCCCATGGGACTTCAATAAAAATTGCACTTGTGAAGTTAATGATTCGTTCTTGAAATGAACCCATGACTTCAGTGTGTGAGGCAAGTAGCTTAAACATACTGCTACAGAAACCTCCTCATGCAAAGTGTGTTGTTTGCAGAAAATGTACTGCTGAGAAGGATCTACAGAGTGAATGATTAAACTGTTAATGATTACGATGCTTACCAGCAAGGCACATGATGATGATAATGATTATGAATCAATAAATAAATTTTATAAACTTTCAGAAATTACCTTGTATTTATCATTACCCTTCTGTGATGAAATTTAGTTACCATAATTACATTTTCTAAATGTGTAGTCTGTTTCACTGGTTTCTACCTCAAACACTGGAACTACATCCATGTGAGAGGTGAGCAGGACAGATTTCAGCTCTGGTCGTGTGCCCTTCCAGGTAATGAGTCCTATTGGCTTATCTTTGACCCCACTCTGCTCAGAAATAAAGAAGCAAAGCAATTCATTTGTCATCCGTGCTACCAAGGTGGTAAGTTGAAGGCAGTCTAGAAAGTTAAAAACCACTGAACTGAACAAAAGCATTGAAAAAAATCAATCAGTTAGGTGCCGTCTTCACAGTGAAGGTTGGCTGCAATGGATCTCTCTCTCTATCCCTTGTCCTGGTTGTACACTCTCTCAGACTGCTGCCCATTTATCTCTTGGTGCTAGCCTACTACTTGTACCATTGCCCACCTTCTTGCTCTCTTGCCTTTGACCTTTTCCTCCACTATGGTTTTTAAAAGTGTGTTGTTATGTCTTTTAATGTGGCCAAAGTATTTAAATTGTCTCTTTTTTATTTCAGTAATTTTCTTTTCATTTGTAGCCTTTCCAGAACCTCTATATGGATTGTTTTGTTTTTATGAAATAGGACCTATTCTTCTCTATACCCACATTTCCAGAGACTTTATTCGATTTTCTAGTTGCTTGTTCATTATTCAAGTTTCTGCATCATATAGAAGAACTGTGTATACATTACATTTGATTGTTCTCATTTTTAATGGGTTGTTTTTCTCTCATCATCATCATGAAGCAGGTCCTTTGCAGAACGTCACTCTCATCACTTTGCAGAACGTCACTCTCATCACAGTGTGCCTGAAAGAAACTCGGTCTCTCGCCAGTTCTCCCACCTCATGTACTTTCATACTCAAGGAGTCACATATATCCTGTGCCCATCTTCGTGTCAGTCGGCCCCTGCCCCTCCTTCCTGGTACCATGCCTTCTGCTATAAAATTTTCCAATCCGTCGTGGCGCTTGATATGACCAAAATATTTCAGCTTCCGAGACAGGATGCTGTTTATTAGCCAATCTTCCTTGATGTTCAGATCTTTTAAGATGTCAATATTTCTCCTCTTCTTTCTCCAAGATATTCTTTCTATAGCATTTCAGCACAAAAGACCCTATTCTCTTTCTTAAGGACTGAGAGATAGTCCACGACCCACATCCGTATGTAGCCACAGGGAAGATGCATGCTCTCAAAATTCTAATTTTTATCTCCTTGCTGGTGCTTAACCATATACTTTTAAGGCTGTTCAATCATTGCATTGCTATGGCCATCCTCCTTTTAATTTCTGTCGAACAGTCTCCTTTGCAGTTTATTATACAGCCTAGATATTCAAAGTTTGTGACATTTTCAATTTCTTCATCATTTATTGTTATTTTTGGGTGACAGCCAGTTTTATCTGTGGACATTATTTTTGTTTTCTTTAAATTCAAGAACTGATTGTGATCTTCACTGTGCTTTTGTACAGACAATTTTAAATTTTCTATTCCCTTTATGCTGTATGAAAAAAGTACTATGTCACCTGCGTAGAGAAGTTCCGTAATAGGGTTGCCATAAATTTTGAGCGGATCATAACTGCCCCAAGTCTGGTCATTTCTGACATTTCTCTCTAGCTGTCAGTAATATATGCATGTTATTGAAGACAGTTTTAGCCATTCCTATTCACTTTTTGATTTCTGTTTCGCTTCTTCCATCCTCAACGGCTTGTAAAGCGAAACAGCAGAGTGCATGGCACACGCGAGGTGTGTTCATGACACAACAGTGAACACAGGTGACCATCCTGGAAGAGACTGGGACCTCACCATGCATAACCTAGAGTTGGCAATGAAATCTAAACAAAATAAAACTGCCTTGACTGAGTATGTAGTGCTAGATTCACTGAGTGATATTAGAACTTACACGCCTAATATGCTGGCTGACATGGTCTCACATGGCTCAGGTGTACCTTCTGTGTATGGCTGTGTCGATGTTTACTCTCAAACTTCCAATTCTTAGCAGCGATGTCGTCGATGCAGTCCACCAAAAGTCTTGTAGTCGTCCTCTCTCTCTTTCTAAGGGCATTTAAATGTCAGGGCAATCTATTGATTAGCTACAGCCAAAATACATCAGAGCCAGCCAATTTATCAGCCCTTGCACTGCACACCCTGAGACAAATTATTTCATGATCACGGGATACACTCACAAGTATTTCTTCTTACTGATCTTCTTCTTCTCTGTCTTTCTACTGTTTGCCTTGTGCCAGTGCTAAAGTGTGTATTTAATTTGGGAATTCACTTGGCGATAAATATTCATTTTAAACATAAAAGTGCCCAAAGACATAATTCCTAATTACCTCCAGGACACGGAATTCAAGCCCTATTGCCTCTGCTTGTTTCCGCAAAAAGTCCAGTGCGGCATCTGAAATATAAATTATGAAACGGTTTGTGAGTATGCAAACTGTCAATTAATATTTTCAGTCCCAAACAAGGTGTAGTGTAGCTGAAATATTAACAGAATTTAATAGGAGGATAGAAGAGAATGCAGGAACTGACCAAGCACCTATGTCACGGCACAAGATGTTACAGATGGTGATGGTGGATGGTGGTGATATGTGTGTGTGTGTGTGTCAGTGGGGGGGGAGGGGGGGAGTCTAGTGTGTGTGTGGGCGCGCATGTGTGCACAACTGTGGTGTGTGTGTGACAATGATTTAAGATGGGTAATGTGCCCCACATAAAAGATTTTTGTTAAATCCCCCTTCTGATTATAATAGTATTCAGTTCCGTTTAATATTAATGCCATCAAATGGATAAATTTTTCAAAAATAATTATAACACTGACTAGATCTTGGTGCAATGAATTAAGGCATCATACTTGCTATGGGGTTTATCCATAGAATAACAGTAGTGATTTTGGTTTGAGTTTTAAGTTAAAAAGTTTTAGCTCAGCATTTTCTTTTTTTACTATCACCATCATTAATGTTCTCTTCTGCCATTAAACATCATGGGTAGGAACAGTTTGTGATCCACCGTTTATTGGACAGCAATGGTATTATCATTCTGTGTCGATGCAGAAGCTCTTTAACATCATCAATCAATTTCTCCTAGGGTGACCTCTTGCTTTTATGTTGGATCTCTTCACGTGAAGCGCCTGCGTTGTTAGTTGTTCTGGCTGCATTCTTACTAAACAACCAAACTATTTAACCTTCTGTTTCTTAATGAATTTGCTGCATGCTGTTGTTCCTACTGTCTGTCTGATAATATCATTTCTATTTTTGTCTTGGCTGGTTTAATTGGCAGCTTTGTTTCAGACTTCTCATTCCACAAGGGTTAATTTTACATATGTTAGTGTTTGATAATGTCTAAGTCTGACACTGGTGGCACACTGTTGGTATGAATTATGTTGTTTATAATCTGTTTCTTGGTGCACATACTTACATTTGAGTGCTTTAATAACCGTGTCAATTGGTATATTGTTGTACACTTAATTGTACACTCTTTTGTATACTTTATATTCAACCAAGCATTTAGGCCTAGGGTGCCTTTTCAACATTCCGCTGGATATCTCCTTGATGGATGTGCTACAGTGAAGTCCTGCATACTATAACTGGCACACTTGGCACAGCATCATCTAATACAGTTGTATCTTTACAAGTCAACAATAACACTTGTGACAGGCCACATAAACTTTAATGGCTTTAAAGTTACACGTCACAAGATCATGATGATTATTCAATAAAACATGTACGATAATAAATCTCCATTATCTACTCTTTTGATATACAATCTTTCTCAATGGACTCCTGCCATTATAAGAAATAAATAGACATTAAACTGCCTCCCGTAAGCAAAGGTTAATCCAAACCTCACAAAGAGGGAACGTCCTACTTGGACAAGGGAAATATCTTGACTGTAGAATCCTTTGTGTTCTGCAGGAGCCTTTGTGTTAATCGCCCAGAATTCAATTAGCTCCTATCCCAGGTAACGACCCGACCGTGGCCGCTGTGTGAACTTTTCACCTGTCCTGTGACCACTAAAAGAAACTAACTCTTGGCCAATAAGATTACAACATATATGAGTGCACTGGCTCATTGGCATCTTGTTCTAATTTTCAGATCTATTCTTTTGCCCTCCAAGAATATACTTCCTAGATATTTAAATTCTTCAACTTGCTTCAGACAAGTATCATTCAACTCTATATGTAGCAGACTAGGGATTTTGCTGAACTGCAATACTTCAGTTTACTTTCATGCTATATCTTCTGCATGTTGAACTTAGCCTGTTCAAATGTTCTTGCAGTCTACTTCCCTCATTGTTGAACAGGCACTGTTGTTCTGCAAATAGTAGCTCATTTATTGTGTGTAGATCTAATTCTTCTTCTGCAAAGTTGCCCATTGTCTGGATTTTTTGGGTCGACTGCTCTAAAGCTGGTTTCTTTTTATATTCTGTCTATGCATATAGTAAATAAGAGATGACAGCACACATCCCTGCCTCACCCCTATATTGATTATAAACAAATCAGACATGCCTTCTTGTGTTCTTACTGTGCTTTGGGAAGTATGGTACATGGCCACGATGTTATCTGGCTTTTGTCCTTGTATCCCATATTCCTCAAGAACAACCGATAGGTTGTTTCTGTTAGCTTTATCAAATGCTTTTTTTTTTCCTTTAAAACTACAAACACAAAATTCAGTACATCATTATATCCAATGGTTTTCTCGCAAACTTGTCTTAATGTAAATAATCATCTGTGCAACCTTTTTCTTTCCTGGAACCAAATCGTGATGTACTTAGGTTTTGTTTCGCTATTATCAATAGGTCTAACTTCTTACATAAGTTAAACATGAACTCCCTGAGTCCCAGGGAATGCATCACGGGCTAATTTGTTTCTATTAGTGGCCGAATCGAAGCGTGACAAGTGAAGTTTTTAATCTACCACTGACCGGTTGTAAAACGCGGACCACTCAATTTCAACTGCCTTCCGAGTTCTTTGTGTCTGATATCAAGTGTGCACATTTAGAAACGTGTGTTGAAAGCCGAAAATATAGTATATTTGCAAGATTCCCGAGTTACTAAGTGTTTGTTTGAAAAGAATATGGCTACCAAGCACTATTCCACGTGCATGCCAACGTGATATACGGCCTTAGAAGCGTAAAATTTAAATAAAGTACATATTTTTTTTTTAGATTTATTCTTAGTTAGATAGATAAGCTTGCGAATTAGGCATGTTTCCGTACTTAATAGTCAAACTTTGATGAGGGACATGTCTAATGCGTACCTCATGCGAAGGGTGCAATGATAGCAAAGTCAGCTGGCACAAATAAAATAATCATTAGTGAAAAGATGGTTTTCTTCAGTGTCAGTTAGTTATAGTGCTATTCCCCTTATTATTTAGAAAACATAGCTACAAAGTTACAGGCAAATTGAGTGTTAGATAAACTTGGTTTTGCCTGAAGTTACTTATTGTTTTGGGAGTCAGCTTTTGCTAAATATACCCTAACAGGGCCTCAGTCACATGTAAATTGCGGACCTCCTCTAGCGACTACTTAGCATACCGCCGAGAGTATCTCACGCGCCACTACCTGTGGCGCGGAGTGGGGCTAAAATAGATGGCTTGGACTCACAAGCAAACAAAATAGAGGAAGCTGCATGAGATGCGGTAGCTGCTGCTTGTGAACCCCAGCCATCTAGTTTAGCCCAACTCCGTGCCGCCTGTAGCGGCATGGAATATACTCTCGGTAGTGACTTTAACTTGGCGAAAGCTTTTTGGCGGTATGCTGTGTAACTAAGGCCCTGTTAGGGTATATTTTCAGCCTTGATAATTTGGGACTGTTATTAAGAGGATAGCCCAGTTGTTTGTTGTTTTTTTTTTTCACCAAATAATAGTGCTCTGTTACGATGCTTTAAAAGATTCTCTGGAACAAAATCTAATGCATAGATTGAGTTTATATTTTACTTATACATTACTAACTGATTCATATTCATTTGTGAATAATTTTGGATATATTTTAACCAGTTTTTCTTGAGTGCCATGTTGGTAAGTGGAAATTTTTTAAATTTCATTTTACTAATTTTTGTAAACATATTGTTTTTTTATTTACTAATTTTTAATTACTTACACAATTATTTGATGTAGCTTTATGCTAAAAATATTCTTCAACAACCCCTGGTCACTTTGATGTATATTATGTGTATGTTGTGCAGCAATTGAATTAGTATGGTCTGTTTTAATGTGCTACACTTGTGAAATATAAAAAATTGCATTACCACCCCTTGGGCCTCTGATGCTAAACCCCCTGGTACTCAAAGAGTGGCTATCTACCGAATAATGGTCCTAAATTATCGAGGCCGAAAATATACCTTAACAAGGGCTCAGTCACATGTAAATTCCAGACCTCCGGCGACTTAAATTGCGGATTGAACCATTAGTATGGTATGCATTTAATGGTCTAAACTTGTGAAATATAAAAAAATCCACGTCACACATAGCGGTGTGGGAGATACTCTCAGCGGTGACGGTAATAGCCGGAAGTCAGTAATTTAAGTTGCAGAAAGTCCACAATTTACATGTGACTGAGGCCCTGTTTGGGTATATTTTCGGCCTCGATAATTTGGGACCGTTATTCGGAAGATAGCCCAAAGAGTTAATACTTAGAATTTAAGTAGAGATTTGAAGGAAGTACTGTTGAATTTCTGCACTGTATAGGGCAAGAACAATCCCCTAGGCTGACTCAACTGATTGCATAATCTGAAATTTTCGATTAGTAGTTTTCAGCCTTTTCCAAATGCTACCTCAAACTGAAGCAAAGACTCGCATTCTGGATGGCAAACCAACAGGGACAATCCCAGATGGCCAGTTTATTTAAACTCCTAGAAAGTTTTACTGAAGGCCAAATGCTACCCCCTCACCCCCCCCCCCCCCTCAGGTGTGCCATCGTGTCCTAAACTAGTAAAAAAAATGAGAAAACATTTTTGACTTGTTTTCTTTTCTTTAGTCTGCAGGAGGACGTGGTTTCTGCAATCATGATCATGCAATGCCCAACTGCAACTGCTTGCATTCTGAAGCAAAACACACATTATTAAATATGCATGTAACTAGCGATTGCATAGATTTTTCGTGAATATAAATTTGAAAGAATGATTTCAAATGAGCACTAACCATAATCTGGGGTTGGCTGCATTGTATTGATACGTAAATATTCGCGAAAGCGACTCACACCTGGATCTTCCACTCCTTCCATTTTGTCGGTTTAACCTTTACTCTTTGAATGGCTTTTGACCCTTGACCTTAAGATCACGATCATCATCATCTCAACAGTACTAGAATTTTCATTAGATGACTTGCTGACTGACTGACTCTCTACCCCACCAGGACATCACACAAGCGATAAACAACCGATGACACAAAGTGCCACCATGTCGATGAGGATCGCCGTGGAGAGGTCCCAGAAACCGCGTTCAGACAATTGGCCATATATGGCCTGCCTATATTGCGGCCCCCGGCAAAAGCCAGGATGGGGCTTCAAATAACAACATCTTGCTCTGAGTTTCAACTCTTAACATAGTCCGCTTCAAAGACGTTTTAATTATCTTCGCTAATGCCTGAGTTTCATGCTGTTCCGCCGTCGTAATTTTTAGTCCCTACCTCAATTCAGTATAAAAAACAACTGTCTCTTATTTGAAAAACAAAAAAATACAGAATGGAAATGTTGAAAGCAGTTGAGCAGGAGGTGGACAGCAAACAAATGGGGTATGACAGAAGGAGATGGAGGTACAGAGGTATCACAGAGTACATTACGAGGACGTGAGAGAGAGAGAGAGAGAGAGAGAGAGAGAGAAGTGTGTGTGTGTGTGTGTGTGTGTGTGTGTGTGTGTGTGTGTGTGTTGTGGGATCCATTTAAGTAGAGCTTCATTGAAAATATGGCACTAGCCTGAGTAAAAGCTTTCTGACGTTGTATATGGTTAAAGCATATTACGTTCTGATGCATGTGCTGTTTTTGGGCCATTTTTTTTAATGACTTTGGCTTCCAGGTCCTCCCATGTTTTTAAGTGTGTACCAGGTAAAGTCCTGATAAAAGAAAGGCCGCCGACGTCATGATGACCACATTACCTACTGACTGCTAATTAGTCTATAAAATACACGTCGAGCACTATATGACCAAGATACCGGAAGGGGTGGAAAAGGTTTCTTCATTTATTATTATTGTGCACGTAACTTTGGCCCTGTTGGACACACCCCCAGCACCTCTAATACTTATCGTTTTTGTATCGGTGCCTCTGACAGCATACAATTGATGACAGTTACGTTTCGCATAGGTTGCCGACGTATGTTCTAAAGGATTCACCAAATAACTATAAACCAACCAATCAACCATCTTACACATTCGAAAGCGACAGCCTTTTCTCAGAGAAGCATTGCGTAAAGATTGCACAATGAATATAATTTCAGCATGAAAAAAGCATTATATAAAGCCTTTTACAGAGTACAGGTCGGAGCGAATGCAACCAACCATGTCGTTGCTCACATTAGATATCCACTTTTGAGGGCTTATATTTTTATGTTATATCATACAAACCGACTAATCAATGATAATATCGATCGCGTTGATAAGCTCCTTTATAACAGTATAAGCGACAGGGAAAACAAAATATATCTCTCTAACCAGCCTGGAAAATAAAAGCATTGCAACAGCGGGAGATTTAAAACTGATTATTTTGCATGCGAGATAAATGGCAAGACGTAAAGTGCCAATAATCATGTTTGTGGCTATATAACTGTGGAAGGATTTATTGTAAACTATACTGATACTAAAACAGACGCTAGAAGTGAGTACATTTCTTTTATTCTCGCAATAACGCTACGTTAATAACCTCTACCACTGACAGTTATAAGAGCCGCTGTGATGTAGCGATTGCGGTCCGAAAGTTGTGGGTTTGAATCCATATAGAGCCGAACTTTTTCAGTAAATGACCTTTGCTCTCAAGTTGACCCAGCTTTTTGTAGGTACCAGGTAAACTCATGGGAAGTAAAGGCGACAGGTGTAATGCTGATCACATCATTCATTGAGTGCCAACTGGTCTATAATATATAGTTCTAGCCCTATATGCCCAATACGTCTGAAGGTATGGAAGAGGGTCCTTTGCCTTCTTTTTTTTTAATGACAGCTGTATTTTATTCTCCACTCTCAATGATAATGTCTGTAGAAGTAACTTTCCTTTGATGAGAGTCAAACATTTACAAATCCCAGACACTCTTTTCCATAGTATATTACAAAATACTGGGGCAGGAAGTTTTCTCTTAAATAAAAAAAAAATAAAAAAATAAATGCCGGTAATTACCATAAAGTTTATAAAATGCAGATACTACGTGCTTGGGTACCCAACGTTTGTGGAGTAACCTGCAGTCTAATGGTAACGGGTAATGCTAATCTTAAGGCTGTGACAGATATCACTTTGCAGCCATACACGAATTTAGCCGGTTCAACACCAGACAACTGCATTAGCTCCTTTATTGCAATACAATTCCGACCTTCCCTCTCCACCCACCCCTATTTTTTCCCCTTTCCTTTTACATTTACTTTGTACATTGTATACTTGTTCCTATTCCTTTAATTCAGTTCTTCTGTTATGTGTGTCTGTTTCATCCCTGTCTGTTACTGTAACTTTGTGTCATAGTCGTGTTAGTGAAACTCCCTGAGACTCAACAGTGATTACATCAAAGTCAGAGAGCTTTGGGATATAAAGTGTTGCAGTAACATATATCTGGTACTGAAAGAGGTAAAGTAATGACGTTCTAAGGAGAAGGAGCATCCATTTATATTACATGTTTAAAAGTAACATACCATACCGGTAAATGTCAGTTTTTAAGGGGAGTCAATGAAGATTTAAACCTTAGACTAACGAACGACGGACAAGTGGGCCAGTCACTGTGCTACCACTTTTACTCCCCCCCCCCCCCCCCCCCCCCCCCACAACCACTATAATCACAACTTGCCAGGAAATAAGTCTGGGGTTGACTAGAAGACTCTAGAAGGTGCTAGATCCACAAAAGGATGGTAAAGCAAACATATAACCGGAATACAACTGACACTATCAGTACTGGAACTTCGCACTGGCTGCTGAAGATGGATGATGTCATATCTTACTTCTTAACAGTCTGCATATATTACCATAACATTGTCGTAATATAACTACCTTAATTTTGTTCCAAACAGGAAAAGCAAGGACAGAGAGCTGTTAAAACTCTTCTAATAAAATTGGGTAACTTTAACTTCCCATTTGGAAAGCACTTCCTAATGGTTTCTGTTATTGACTCGATCCCTTCCCTCAACACCACGCCTGCTACTGCATATGGGTAAATTTAAGGGGTTGGCTGCAAATATTGACACATCACTTGAAACACTGTTATCTTCGTATCAATAATTATCTAAGCTAACAAGCCTGGCTGTCATGAGCTAGGGTGTCATAGTTTGCAGTTTGTTATATGATTTAACGGGAAGGAACTCAGCTTTTTAGAGCCGAACAAATAAATAGACGTGATTTGAATCATCGAGGTCGCAGGATATTTTTAGACGTCAAAGAACATTCAGGTTAACAACAGATGATAACACTGTTATATAAATAATAACATCGTAGCTGTCATGGGAAGGGAATCACTGGAGTATGGGGATACCACGAGAGAATATGAGGTAAAGTTTGGAACTATGGGATGGAAAAATATCATCAGAAATGATTGACAGTAGGCCTGATTGAGAGCTGGGGAACATACACGGTTAGCAACATAAAATTGCAAAGTCTATATGAATATATCGCATATTATACAAAAACATGTTTGATTAAGGCACTGCTTAGGTTTAATGTGACCAGTTTCAAACTGTACTGTCGTGACCTTTAATGGTATAATTGTTAACTAGGGTTTTAGTATGAATTATTGAGTTGTTGTTTTTGTTTAGTTAGCAACCAGCAATAGTGTTAATATTCATGGTATTTTAAACAATCATTTATTTCTTCCGCGTCCCGTGAAACCCACAAACGCCAGATACGAAGTAAGCAAGAGACGAAAACCCAGGCGTCATTGCACGCCACAAAGAATCAGAAATCAAAACAAGTCAGTATAGAAAACCTTGCCAGATAGGTTGTTGCGTATCCTTTACAGGACATTGCAGAACCAACCCCAACAGTCCATGGCTGTTGTGTGATTTTTTCTAAGCAAATTTACGTCCAGTAGTTTTGACAGATAGAAGAGGACGTTTAACCAGTTGCAAGAGGAGTAAGTTTTAATTTTTTTGTTTCCTACGATCGAAATCGAATCGAATTACGCAGCCATAATAGACAGCACGCTGGCTTTAGAACAATGCACTCTGATCGCAATCCACTGTTCAGCAGCTATGTGTAATTTCTACGTGTGACTGAAGTTCGTCGCATAACGCTTAATGACCTAACAAGAAATAATTAATTGACAAGGTCATGCGGCGAGGGGGAGGTAGCTATTAGCCTCACCTGACCATAACGTGACCAGAATACATGACAACCTAACACCACATCACAACACATGTGTATCGGTCAGTAGCGGGATTATGAGCACCGCTTTGGTATGTTTCATTGTCGTAGTCTGCATATAACAAAAACTGTTTCAACTGTATATGCATTCCAGTACTGTTGAAGTCTTCTTCTTCTTCTTCTTCTTCTTCTTCTTCTTCTGCTTCTTCTTCTTCTTGTTCTTCTTGTTCTTCTTCTTCTTCTTCTTCCTCTTCTTTTTTCTTCTTCTTCTTCTTCTTCTTCTTCTTCTTCTTCTTCTTCTTCTTCTTCTTCTTCTTCTTCTTCTTCTTCTTCTTCTTCTTCTTCTTCTTCTTCTTCTTCTTCTTCTTCTTCTTCTTTTTCTTTTTCTTCTTCATTCGTCCTTAAAATGGGCATTTGACACATTATGTTGTGGTTTACAGCAAAGCTGCGATATTTGCGCCTTTATGTCCGATTTCAGCAAATGCCTGATTATTCACATTTTACAACATACTTCTTGTGGAATAGGGCAATCGGTTTTCTCTTTTCCCCAAAATGTGGCCTCTAAACTAACTCGGCAACTTTAAAGGTTTGAATCTGGGGCCGCTTTCTGGGCAGACACACGAACTAACCGTTGTGCCATCACGTCTCCTGTATTGCACACATGTTTCCCGATTGTGAAATTACATCCTGTTTATCTGATCGCCAACATTTATGGCTTTCGTACTGATTTCGTATAAACCAA